ACAAAGGATTGTCGTTTTTGCAAATTAATAAATATATTGTAGAATTTTTTATATATTTTTTAATTTTTTTTTATCTGTATTATTGTACTGTAGTTAAACGGTAGAAGCGATATTCGACTTAATCCAAGCCTCTGTTAATGACCACCACTGTCAAAATACGGCTGTCATCCATTCACTGGATTTATCGTATCTGATGATGATGTATCGTATATGATATATATATTCAAAGTTAAATTTTTGCACAATTTCACCAAACTTGGCAGGTAATTCTGGAAAATAAAAATCGTATTTATGTATAACAACAGCGACCATAACAGTCTAAATCGATTCATGCTGGTCAGAAATGCATACAATTTATAAGATTTCTGAGATATATTTCCTTCTCTTGTTTGCGCGAGCAAAAGGTATTTAAAATATTTAGTATACCGCTTTTCAGTTGGTCTATTTGCTCGTCTGAATTCTGTTCCCGCGCATTTACTTGGAATCGATTACACTTCGAGGTTTTTGAAATAATTTGACGAAATTCTGGCCATGTTTTGGTCCAAGATGCTTCCAATAAGGGTATTGAAAAATGAATTTGAGCGGGCAATTTTTACAATCACTTGCCTTACAAAGCCGCATCTAAAAATAGTGACACATTGCGATTTTTGATATGTTCCAATAGGAATAAAGGAAATGTGGTATTAGACGAAGCTAGTTCATGATTATTAGGTTTCTCTTCGTTTCATAATAAAACTAAAAATCGCTAAGCATTTATATATAGTACATTCTCAATATATTTCTCCATCAAACATCAATTATCATCACTTAAACTAACTTTTTATTACTATTTGTATATGTCTGCTATAGTTTCAGTTTTTTCTCATATAATTATAGTTAAGGATTCAAATGCTATGCCATTTATATGTTGGCTGTAAGATACAATATTTCTACATGTTTTTATGTACTAAAAGCATTACGCTTATATACTTCTTTCGGGGCCTAAGAGCTTGCGAAGCTATTATTTCCATATTGCTAAAGTTGTCCCTATGAACACATAAGCAAATATATTTCATAAATATATATATATTCGAGTATTATGGTCTAAATAATTGTGTGTTTGTTATACCCATCTCCGAAGGATGTGGAGTGTATTCATTTTGTCAAAACGTTTGCAACCGAAGCTTCAAAGATCCCATAAAGTTTATACATTCTTGATTAGCACCAAATTCTAAATCGATTTAAGCATGTACATTTGTGCATCCGTCTGTCTTCCATCTGTCCGTCTGCCCGTCTTTGTAATGTGTGTTGCAAACACTTTCCTGAGCGCAAAAATTAAGCTATCGGCTTCAAACTTGGCAAAAACATTGAAAGTTCTTGTACGCAGTCTGGTATTGAAAATGTGTCAAATCGGTCGAAGGACATGCCCACAGCACTACGTAAACTGAGAATACTTCTGTTTTTCAAAAAGAATGAAAAATTGTTTTTAGTTCATTACTCATACACTGTAGTGAATAAATTTATAAAAATTTGAACGCATATTCTATGGACGATGCTATAGCATCTGTGCACAATAACGGAAAAATTAACCATGTCCACCCATTATTACAGTGTATCAAAATTTTATCATTTATTCAATACTTTTATAACACACGGAAACAAGCTTCAAAAACCCCATACAGTATATAAGTTCTTGGCCAGTTTCAAATTTGGAATGCACCTAAATATGTCCGTCTGTGCGTCTGTCCAACTGTCTGTAGTAATTTTGTAACTTTGTAGTATTTGTGGTAAACATTCTCCCGTTCGTGAATATTGCCTAAAAATTTGCAAAAGAATTCGACCTAAATCAACTGCGCCCGCTCCATATTATAGAGCATGAGAATTTTGTTCTTTTACTTCTTTTGTCTTTTCTTGGGGTAGACGGTGAAGGGTATAAAAGGTTCGGTCCCGACCGAATTTAACTTTCTTACTTGTTCAAGCTTTAAGGCAATTAATGTAGTTTTGTGCAAATCATAAACATCTAACTTAAGCAACACTAGAGAAAATCCACAAGGTAATCACACTATTACAAATAACAAAAGTTTTTAATGTAGTCATTCCCGCATTAATTACTTAAACACACTACTACGCACATTTGTTATTCGCTATCCACATTTGAGCTTCTCCGTACGTAAATATTATCAAAAAGCTGAAGTCTATTTTTACTGCACTCGGGTAACCGGTCGAGACAAAAATTCTGTATAAAAATTGAATTCATTGTAAGGTCGATGTCATGAAAACTGACTCGGAATTTGCAAAAATTAGCATATGCAAGTTAAAATGTCACGTAAAGCCGATCATTGAATATCTTATTTGGCTTCAGCTACTATAATAAAAAGTTACAAATGCAATAATAGTGAGCTTTTGAAAACGTCTTAAATGTGTGTGAGAAAGAAATTAGCTGCAGTGGATGAAATTTAGTTATCTTTTTTATGAAAGAAGTCATTATTCTTACGCCATGCATGATTACATTTGGGCGGGAAATTGACCATGACACCAACGGTTTACATATACATGGGTATGCTATATAAAATTTCATTTCATTTATGACCAACTTGTATATACAATCTTTATATGGTTAACGGTTACGTTGGCTATGCATCGTTATCTGGCGACAACACAGCCTCAAATGTCACGAATTTGATGTAATATGCATAACACTTATTATTATGATGATTATGTTTTTGGCCTAAGTTTAAGCCTGCCGTTAATAACACCTTGCGTGCATTTAACCATTATTTATATCGAATTTCGCAAACTAATCAGTGAACGTAACCAAGTAATATATTCATTGCTAATCAGCCCATACATATCCAATTATCGGAAAAAGCATAATTATGGCATAAAGTATGACAATAAAACTCATGGATGGTGAATCTCTCTTCTAAAAATTACAATGTGTTTTCTTATAAGGGCTTATCAAAAAATGAGAAGTGGTCGAGAAAGTGGTGCGATCCAAACTATTTTCAATAGCGTTCATCCTTGGGCCAAAATACGTCAGCGCAACAAATTTCATCAAAGTCTCTTCTATTAGATGAACACACAAACAAAAAAGCACGCAAGGACACATAGGCAGACAAGGCAATATCCATATATTATTCTAAAAGACGGGTCTATCGTAAGTCCTTCTTGGGAAGAAGGTCACACTATAGTTTTGATGTATTTTAACGCACTTTCTAACTCATCCCGATTGGTTATGAGTAATTATGTCGATTATGAGAAAACGATCCTTGTGTATAAAGCGCTAAATTTATTATAAAAATTTTCAAATGACTAAGCCCATCCCAGATGCGTGAGGTATTTCAAAGGACAAATGATAAAATCTTGACATAGCAAAACAATTAACTTTTTATACCCTGCACCACCATTTTTAATAACACTTAATGTCATTTAAAACATATCAAAAATGTAAACTCGCTTTCTTTCCGTGAAATTTTTCATAATGTTCTTTTTTTAATGTAGTTTTTTGCGAGTACCATGCGCACTTTACGTAGAGAATGAAAAAAAAAGACAAATATGGAAATTAAATTGGGATCTGACCGAATTTTTTATATCCTCCACTTATCAATATGGAATATGCAGACTTATTGTTGCAGTTTATGAGTAACGATCAAAATATGCGTTAGTTACATTCCACATTACATTAAGTTTGTGCGGATGCATGTAACTCCCAACGGAACATAGGATAAATCCGTCTCTTATTACGCCGATCGATTCAGAACCATTTTTTAAATTGATTTACGCTTGTCTGTCCATCTGAGGTAGGCAAACATGTTTTAAGAAAATAAATATATTCCCATCCTTGTGTGATGGGTATTAAAACAAACTTAAATTTGGTTTTGGGCGGACTCTTTAACGCCAACCGAAATTTGTTTCCTTAGAAAATCGACTAATTTTCATGAGAACACAAATTATCAAATGCGATTTTCGTAACAATATAAGCCGGTGTCAGCCACATTATAAATTCACCCGCATTAGATAACTTGTGCACGATAATACTTCGCAAAATATTATATACAAATTAAAAGTCACGTCATCCGCCTAAGTGGCCGAAGTCGAGGAATCTCGACTAGCAACTCAATGGTCGTTGGTTCGAATCTCAAGTGCAGTAGAGTTTTTAATAAAAGCCGATAGCCTTAGATGTTAGTGCTTTAAGAGTTTAGTCTTACAATTTATTTCTCTGGCGCAATTAATAATAATAATAATAAAAGTCACGTCATTTGTTACATCGCCTTGTATCCATAAGTTTGCTTGGCAAGAAATTCCTGCCGTATTTTAAATCAATCCAATTGATTTTGAAAACGTTTGATGCAAAAGTGTTCATGCTTTCAGTGTTCAGTTCAGGCTTCACTATTTTGAAGATTTTGAAGATTCTGATGATGTCTCTGATAATGCATAATTAAAATGAAATTAGACGCACGTTTCGTGAACTGATTTGAACGACAGATGAAAATGACTGAAGCAATATACCAGTTATTGCTAAAATTGCTGCTTTATATATGAAAATTTACTTGTAACATATTATTTTAAAAACATTTTATATGATTTTCTGTTATTTTTATTTCTTTATTTACTAGAAATTTTCATTCTCATGACACCAAAACCGAAAAAAAGATATATAGACAGGTGCAAAGGATGAAAGGAAAAATAAATTTACATTCCAAGGTTTTTTTTTTTATGTTTTAATCATCCTGTGTGTGCGCGCGCGTGTGAATATGTGTTTTTTGTATGTACGGTGTGGGCTTGCTTATGTGTGTCAAATTATTCTACAATAACATTTTATTACGTTAACATTCATTATTTATTTGCTTTAATTTCAAAAAAACAAAAATTTTCACAGACGATATATATATACATATCAATGTATATATATATATACAGTTATACATATATATATATACTTATGTATTTATACACACACACACAATATATATATAAATTTATATTACATATCAATATGTATATATATAATTATATATATATATATATATGTATATTTAAAATATACATATTTAAATAAAAAATAAGTCGATATCTTTTTTTTTTATTTTTGTTACACTATACCGAACATACATATTCATACGTGATGTCAGTGCAACACCATAAGAATATAAATATCTATACCATAACGTAAATAGAGGAGTCGCATAACTTACAAATATTTTTATTTTAAAAAATCATTTTAAAAGATGAATATATTACTCAACAATTTAAAAAAATGTAAACAAAACAGAAAATAAAGGTGTTTTTTAAGTGTCGAAGTTGCCCTCTTCAAATATATGACTACACATAAGAACTCCTAATATTTGGGAGTTAATAGTAGAGCGCAGACGTATGTGAATTTATATTTGTTACTATTTTTGTCTTTTTTGTTTTTTATTTTCTCTTCGTGTAAGCGTTTCATTTAATTTTCAGTTATTTGTGGTAAGAATCGTTGATTTGTTAATAGAAAAAAGAAGTATCGAAGTATTTTAAAATTTTATATCGTAACTCTGGCTCTGTACTCTCCCTGCCGATATGACCTATCCTCACCCAAATATAAAATTAATTATATGATTTATAATAAATCATCCTCAACTAGATCTTGTACGAGTTGTTGCCTTTCAACTTCTTGCCGTCGTCGTCGTTCTAATTCTGCTTGCTCTACGATGTTTGCTATAGGTACTTGCTCCTGTTCTTCTTGGGTTTCCTGCAAGTCACTAGTATCTGTTCCTTGATTTTTTTTTCGATGCTCATAATTAACTAAACGTTGACCGACCAAATATTTGTCCACTTTGATAGCGACATAGAGCTTTTTAAACTGTCGAACTTGGAAATCAACAATGGCTACAACCCCAATTGTTGAGAAAAATACAGGATATATAAAGTGTTGAACAATTAGCTGATTCCAAGGATCTTTGCAGAAGAGAGGTAAAATTGAATGAGCCAATATGTATGGTATAGCTAAAGCTAAACCGAAACAGGTGATCACCGGCATTGCCAATTCTTCAATTAGAAATTTCAAGTCAATATCACGCAGACCGTCGCGGTAAGCTCGTTCTAAAGCACGTTTTAAATGCCAGTCGGGTCCCATGAATGTCAAAGCGACAGCAATCTTTGTATATAAAACGCCAAGAGCCCAATCCTGCCAGATAAAATAAATCGGAGTCTGGCGCATACCTACTCTTAGCGGTATTACCACTACCAATTCTAAAAGTAAGCCGAAAAGCAATGGTATAACACCCAACATTAGAACTATAATCAAGACGGGTAAAGCGTATGAGGCTCCAACGCGTAACCAATGTTTAAATTTGTCTATAACAGCCGCGCGACCCTGAGGCAGTAAGGTTGCTGCTATAGCTATTCCACGTGTTATAAGCCAGCACAGATACGTACCCAAAGCTGAAGTGTACAATTCATGTGGTCTAGCGGTAATCTCAGTTGTCTGTACTACAACTTGCGTGCTAATGCTGCCGACCGCCCATAAAGACATTACCTGACGACCTATCCAAATGGGTACGGTAAGCGTAATTAATGAAGCCACCACTAATGATATACACATGAAAAACATTAAGCCACATAAACGCAGAACGAAAAAGGTTGGTTTAAAGTAGGGTTGGAAAGCTACCGGTACATCCCTCTGTATCATAGCCTGATGAGCAGCCGCCAAATTACGTTCCGCCTGCGGATGTAATGCGGGTAATGGACGTATAACGGCAACTCGGGCTGGGCGTTCTGCAGCTCCATTAGCTTCATTCTCAATTCCAACATTTTCTGCTGCAATGTCTCCAACGTTCGCTACATTTTCGGGTTCAATGTTATTACGATCCGATGGAGTTTCTGGATCAACACCCAATAAATAGCTTCGTATACCCAAAACCCAAGACACACATATGCACCAAACTCTTAATAATTTCTTTAACCAAACACGTGTATGCGACTGTTCAAAAAAGCCAGGTAAGATAACCTACAAAAACTGTTCTTGTAGAAGCTTACAAGTTAAATATAAAAAAAACTTAAGGTACCTGCAGCAATAGCAATTGCAAACTCAGTTCATTAACCTCAGAGTCGCCAGATAAAGTATAGGGTAAAAATGAAGGCCATAAGGTTTTCAAAATACGTATAGGCACCCAAAGCATTAGTAAAACGACCGACCCAAAAATCATTGCAGACGAAATTAAACGTCGTACATGTTTCAATATCGGTAAGTGAATCATTTCCTAGCAAACCAAGATTAAATATATAAATTAAGTAATAAGAAAACTTGCATTGGCAATTCACCTGTATGGGACTGAAATCCGGATCGTTGAGATTACGTAAAAACCACAGAACGCCTGGACGTAAAACTTCTCTTAGCAATGAGATGAAAGCAGCAAAATAATACACATAAACCATTCCGAACATCCAGTGTACAAATAAGGATGTGGCAGGAGCTGCCGAAAAGCTTACCTTACGGTCTTTAAGTCTAAATAGAGTAAAGAATTCTTATTGTTATACAAATGCATGCTGTTTAAAAACTTACGTTGCATCGAACAATGGCAGAGAACAAATGTCCAACCACCAACCACATATTAAAGGCAATACACCAATTTCCACGACCGACAACAACGACACTTTTACTACAATATAACATAAACCAATCAAGTTGCGGACTCTTCTCATGTGAAATGCCTTAGCTAAGAAGTGTAACACCACCAGTATGTGGCCGATGAAACAATAACCGAACAGTGTAGTAATAAGACCATGAAAATGTAATAAGGGCTTGTCTGGATGCAGAAGATCTAACGAACTTAAAATGAAGTGTCCGATGCAGTAAGGACAAAACGCAAAAGCAAATATCAGCATTATATTCAATGAAATAATCCAAAAGACATGCTCCAGAAATACTAAAGAGCCATCTAAGCCTAATAAACGTTCCCACGTAAGATCTTCAGCAGCACGGTCCCATTCCATGGGATTCCAGTTGGGTTCATCGTTGTCATTGTCATTTTCCGCTGCATTGACAACATTATTATTATTGTTGTTATTAATGCCAGCTAAAGCGGGGGGCAATTGTACCCCGAAGTCTAAGGGAACATCGCCCTCATTTTCATTTGGATCAGCTGCTACAGGCGGAGCAGCGTTATTAATTGGCTCTACTAGGAGAGCACCATCGTTGTTGTTATTATCGTTTTGTGGATGTAGGGGTGGAACATCACCTATATTATCTCTGGCCGGATAATAAACGTCGTCTGCTTCAGCTGCTTCTTCCAATACTTGATTGCGAACGCCATCACCTCCAGCTCCTTCCTCTACATGTGCCACTGCAATGTCTCTGGCTATGGGTGGTATGCCCACAACATCATCTTCGACTTCATTGTTGGGCCCTGCTGCCGGACCATCGTCTCTTTCCAGCCAGTCCGGCCCTCCACCCATTAAAATCTGCTCTCGCAACCAAACTAAACCGATAAATGATAATAAAGTACAGGTTACGACAAAACACCCTCTAAACACATCCGGAGCAAAGTTTTCCGTTGAAAAAACATCAAATGGTAGTGAAAGAATCATATCGAAAGAAGACGCCCGAAAAAGATAACGATAAGTGCGATAGGCTGACAATGGCACCACTACAAACCAAGCCGTACCCACTAACGAATAATGAGCCCAGGACTTCGCCGCTTTTGCTATAGCTGTTAACAAACCACCAATCACGTCGCGTAACGGTAACACTCGTGGCATATCGGGCGAATAAATAGGCTGGAAGCTGAACCGATGACCGCATAGTTCACAGTATTCTTTGTGCGAATAGCGCATCCATTGCATTAAACAATCTTGATGTATGTATTTAATGCTACCCGTACACACGCAAGGATAGAAAAGCGGACGATCCGATTGTGCTTCACAACGACATACTCGACAAATGTCACCTTGCGATATATCATCCATTGTAAATAAAGCAATGAATCGTATACAAGAATCTTCAAAATTTTAACATTAGATATCTCAAAAAATGACCTAACAAATCCTAATTGCAGTTCTCAAAGCGTTTTAATAAATTTTCTGGATCTTCTTAGAAACAAAAAAAAATTGTTATTACAACACGTCAATTAGAATAGCTCAGCTGTTCGTATCCGTACTTCATCTTTATTTGTTCTGGGCAGGACTGCCAATTTACAATTTCAACATATTATTATTGTTACAATAATGTTGCCAGAAGTGAACGCTTTCCCGTAGGGAGATGACTGCACGGTGAAATGTTTTTGCAATTCCAACTTCAAATTCAATTTTTATTCCAAATGGACAATCTAAAGCAGTCTATTTCCTGAAAACGTCGGGTGCACGTAGTGATTTGCGTTACTTTCTTTTCAATTTTCAAAACATTAACCAAACGTAGTTTACATGGTAGGCGATCTCAAATTCCTCTCAAATTCGAAAAATTTATACATTCCCATTAATATTTCCAACATCCAACCAAAATGAATTAATTATCTTCTGTCTGCATTATTTTATTAATTAGGAGTTTTATTGTTTTCTCATAAATAATGTGTATATAAATTCTTTGCAGTATTTCAATTTACTCCCGTTTCGTTAACTTAAGTTTTAATTCTGATAAGTTACTTTGCGTAAACGTCCTAACTTCTCATGTTTTCTTTGTACGAATCTACTACCTAACCCATAGTCTTTTCTGTCATTTTCTATACTTACTTTTATGGCTACTACATAAACGTACACTAATGCTTCAAGAATATGTAAATTATTGTCAACTGCGAAAAAATAAGCATTGAAAAAAGTTTTGATAATAATAGGTATTTTTATTTTTCCTAACACCAAACATATTTTTCTTCGTTATTCTTACGAATGGTTAGGTATATGCAGCAGTAAATAGATCGAGTACTCAATTTATTATTGTTTCCTCACGAAATTTGGAAACGTTTTACGCTAAAACTAGAGGTGAAGTAAAACTTCGAAAATCAACAAATTTAAGTAAATTAAAATAAGAAGTGAATTAAAAATAAACAAAGCCACTCTTAGCAAAACAGGATAAAATTTAAAAATTGCTTATTTGAACATACTGCAAATAAGTTCGTTTTGTATAAGTGTGGCATTGATTAAACAAACAAACGTAATACCGATATTAAAGTCATATTTTTTAATTAAGTCTCTTAGAATTGAAAAGTGAACTTATTTCAAGAGGGATTTGGAAAAATAATTTGCAGTAGCCTTTAAATAAAATAAAAATTTTTTTGGAAGAATTTGTACTCCAATATGTTGAGCACACATATATGTCGTACTAACGCTCGCCGTGCATTTGGTCAACTTGTATGCATGCGACGTCACTTTGGAACCACATTAACCAAAAAAGAAATTTTCCAAGTGCAGAGTACCGAAGACTTTGAACAAAAAGTTAAAAAAAGTGATAAAGTAGTCATTGTGGATTTTTTCGCTACGTAAGTCCTAGGTTTATGATGAAATTCTATGTTATATAATGTGAACGCAATTTTTTACCTTTTGGTAATTTCATGTATTAAGATGGTGTAATCCTTGTAAAATGTTAACGCCTCGTCTAGAATCGATTGTTGGCGAGAAGGCTGGTAGTGTTAAACTGGCAAAAGTTGATATCGATGAGCATAGTGATTTGGCTTTAGATTACGAAGTGGGTGCTGTACCCGTTCTTATGGCTATGAAAAATGGCAAAGTAGTGAACCGCATGATTGGCCTACAAGATACTGATAAACTGCGAGCTTGGATTGAGAAAACGGTAGCTGAAAATAAGTAATAACATGCATCACTAATGAAAGTGAGTTTAACATTTGTCTAGAACAGAGGAGAAAATTGCAAAAAAGCTTTAATTGTTAAAATTGATTTTGGTGGCCAATTCTTATATTCTTTCGTATTATAAAAAATGAACAATATTTGTGTATATAAAATTTGTTTTATTTTTAAGTATTTTAATTTCATTGCTTAGGTGCATTAGAATCTATAAAACTAAATCGAAAACCATCCCGGCGTGCCTGGTCGCTTCTTATTACGTTCCAAAAACTTCTTGAAACCTTGTTTTGTGTCCTCTAAAGATTTCTCTTCCGACTTTTGGGCTTCATCCTTCTTTACAAACATGTCGGGAAAAGTGAATTCTACATTTTTAGGCTAAGTACGAAATAACATTACTTTTAATATTGGACAACGGTATATCTTACTTACCATTGTTACATAAGCTATCTTCACGTCATCATTTTTGGTCACATACCCATAGACTTGATCACGTTTTGTAGAACCCATTTCTATGCGTGTCCGCACGTCGACTACGGGTAACTTGTAAATTTTTTCCAAATAGTTTTTAACATCATACTTAGTCATTTCCATAGATACCGAAAACGTTACTATATTCTTTGGTTGTTCGTCGCGGGAACGAATTAACTTCATCCAGAAATTCGGTAAAAATACACGCAATTGTGGATTACCACGTTGGTAGATAGGATACCATCGAGTGGACATTATTAAAGTTTTTAATTAATTTACAATGGCCAAAAGTGACTAAATAAATAACAACTCCAAACTTCCTGAATAAATTTGGACAACTTTTATTGTAATCAGAGTTGTTCAAAAAATTGGTTTGCAAATATTTATTCAAACAAGCCTGTCTTTAGCAAATTTTGCGTAACACATGGTATATTTGGAAGTTAATTTTGTGTATAATTAGATTTAATTAAAATTGAATTTTGTTTTAAAATGGTGAAAGTTCATAAGAAAAAACTAAAAATTAAGTCTTTTCCAATAAAGCTAACACGCAAAGAAATTCGTAAACAGAAAAAGATAGAGAAAAAAGAAAACAAACGTTTATTTTTTTCCAACAATGAACCTGAAATAGCGAGGAAAATATTGTTGGTAAATGGTAAACAGCAGCGAGATAACAAAAAGCAAGCGAAAACGAAGGCTGCAGAAAGTCTAGCTATGAAAGCTAATTTCGAGAGAGTAGACTTGCCCACCGATGAAATTTTGAATTCAGATTTTTCCAACGGAGAAGCTCATTCTCGTTGGTCCCATGTTGCGAAACAGAGCCAAGACGAAAAGGACTTACACCGGAAAAAACCGAAGGCTTCTACAGTAGGTCGCCTCGACATCGAAGAGCAACATCGTAGGGAATTGAAAAGGAAAAGCAATTTAGAATCCGAGGCTCGCAAAAGACGTATCAAGCAATTGAAATTGGAAAATGAGGAAGAAGATAAACTGATAACTAAGCTTGAAAAGAAGTTGAAATTAAATAAAACTAAATGCAAGAAACGGTTAGTGCGTAAAATATTTAGCGACGGCTTAGATTTCGCTTTAGAATTGTGTTTCGACGATGAGGATGAACAAAGCAAGAAGCCCCGAGCATCTCAAGATACAAACAAAAGTAAACTATTCACAGAGCGTAGCTGGAGTGATGAGGAGCAAGATGAAGAACGTTTTAACACCACATTCGGTAATGCCGATGACGTTGGAAGTGAACGCTATAATAACTGCGTGGGTAACGAAGCTGAAGAAAGTGATAGCTGCTGCGATATATACACTTGCAAAGATGAAGAAGAATTAGAAGAGAAACGTATGTTTTATTTACCCACTTTATAAATTGATATTGTCATTTTTTTTTAATTCGAATCCCGCTTTCGTTTGTTTTTTATTTGTTAACATTCCCATTCTTTCAATTATTTGGCTGGCTTGATTTACATTTCCTGTTTTTCCAGATCAAGAAGATATCTATGGCCGCAAACGTGACAAGGATGGGAATATAATAAAAGATTTACAGCAAAATGCGCGAAAGTATATACCACCGCATCAGAGAGGTACTACGTCAGCCAAGATAGATAAAAAAGAATCAGAATTATTGGATGGTTTGCATCGTCAATGCAAAGGTTTATTAAATCGTTTATCGGAAACTAATCTTTATAAAATATCTGTGGCTTTCGAAAAGTTGTACATGAACAACTCTCGTTCCCACATGAATGAAACGTTAAACAAATTATTGCAAAGCGTCCTAATCGGTCGAGTGCTATCTAATGAGAGATTGGTTCAAGAACACATGGTTCTCTTAGCATATTTGCATGCACACATTGGCAGTGAAGTTGGTGCATACTTTCTGCAAATATTTATCGAAAAATTTGACCAGCTACTTAAGGAATCGGATGACTTCAGCATCGAAGATAAGCGCCTTAATAATATATTGTTGATTTTAAGTTATATGTACGTCTTAAAGATTTTTGAGTATAACTTGTTCTTGCAAATTATAGAGAGATTATCAGGTCAATTAAGCGAAAAAACAATTGAATGTTTGCTGTTAATCTTTCAGTCAGTTGGATTTAAATTACGCAAAGACGATCCATCGGCCTTCAAACAGATGATGTTAGATGTGCGATCAAAAATTTCCGCAGCTCCTTTGGAATTAAAGGAAAATCTACGCCTTAAGTTTATGGTTGATATTCTTAATGCAGTAAAAAATAATAACGTGAGAAAAATACCTAAATTTGATCCAGAAATGCATGAAAATCTTCGCAAGAAACTAAAGGCTATGTTAAGAAATGACAAATACGTAACCACTTTAAATATTGCCTTAGATGATTTATTAAAAGCCAACAGCGTTGGAAAATGGTGGATTGTCGGCTCGGCTTGGTCAAACGATATCAATGAAATATCAAACGTCGAAAAAAGCAAGGCTAATGATATGAGGAAGGATAGTAACGGCAAGGAAAGATTTTCAGAGAAACTTTTAGCTTTAGCCAAGCAGCAGAAAATGAATACAGAAGAAAGACGTAACATATTTTGCATAATAATGAGCGCTGACGACTGTATGGATGCTTTCGAGATTTTACGTTTGTCCATTAAGGATCAAAGATCAATCGCTTATGTTATCATACATTGCTGCCTAAATGAAAAATCATCTAATCCTTATTATGCTCACTTAGCTTTGAAATTCTGCCTCTACGATCGTAAATATCAGTTAGCTTTCCAATTCGCATCTTGGGATCGTATAAGTGATATTGATGCTTTGAATACAGCCCAATTACGCAATTTGGCCCAATTTTTGCAGCATCTTATACTACACGGTGGGCTGCAGTTATCAACATTGAAAGTGATAGACTTTTTACAATTGAATAAACGAAACTTTGTATTAATGAGAGACATATGCAAACATTTGTTGTTGACCAAGGACGAGCAGAAGCTTTATCAATCGTTCGAAGTTTTAGCTAAAAATGATAAATTACGACACTTCAAGCAAAATATGAGTCTCTTTTTGCATCACTTCCTACTCAAGGAGCAAGGCAATACTCTAAAATTAAGCGACGAGCAATTCGATTTAATGAAACAAAGAATTGAGTATATTGACAAATTATTAGTGTATGTTGATTTATAATAAGTAATATTAGACAAGAGAAGAAATGAAAAATTGTAATGTGTTTCATTCATATTAATGGTAAAAAAAAATTAAGCAAGCATTTGTAATAGATCTCTGGCTCTTTGATATTTGATAGAATGAAGCAGGATTTGTTTTTCCGATTCTTCTAATTTTTCAGATTGCTTATCTAGTTGCTCTATAGTGTCATTGGCTATTTTAACTAATCTTTCTTTGGACGCCCCCTTAGTACCCGCCAAATACTGTAAGGCCAAAGGCCATATATCATTACTCAGTTTTTCCAACATTGTTTGTTCTATAGAAATTTGTCTCAATTTTTCAAATTTCCAAATATTGCGAGAATGATACCACATCCGCAAATAATCCTCATCACGTCGCATTTCACGTTCTGCGCCCTTTCCCTCTTGTTTTTCCAACAATCGCTGATGCTTTTCCCTTCTTTTTTGTCTTATCGTCATTAAAGCTAAAGTATTTTCCGGTTTTTCGCTTTCTTTTAATTCGTCTTCAGTAGGCGCATGCAAATCTGTTACATCTTCGCATTCATCATCTTCCCTTACGAATTTACTCCGCTTTTCTTTGACTTCACCTTTTTCTAAAATTTTGCGTTTTTTACCAATTCTCCCCAGGTCTGGAATTTCTATGCAAAATATAAAAATTATTGCAGGCCATTTTTAAAGTCTGATGAAAATTTTACCCTTTTGCTGAGCAGTTGGCACAAATTCAAATTGTTGTTCCGCTATGTCTTCTACAATTAGGCTTTTGTTCGCTACTTCATCGTCGTGTTCTTCAGTTGTAAGTTTGCGCTTTTTAGCTTTACGTTTTTTAGCTAATTTAGCCTCAATTTTAGCCATTTTTTTTTTTTTTTAATTTTCTAAATTCGACAAAAAAAGCTATAAATTCTTAAAATATATGATTAGAAAGAAAAAAACTTAGAGTTGCCAAGATATATGCAGTAAAAGTAGCAATTGTAAATGAAATATATTCCTACCACATTTATATGTCAGAATTCTATTATTGGAGTTGCAATCAACACTTTATGAGTGGCATCACTATTGTCTGAAAATATTTTTCTCAGTCAAGTACAATTAATAAAATAAATGCTAAAATGCATTATTTTCCAAAGCATTAAGCAAGAGTAGTAATAAAATTTGTTGCAAAATTTGTAAAAAGTTTATATTAATAACAACATAATATTCTAATTATAAAATTTAAGCAAGTAAAAAAGTTGAAATTTTAGTCAATCTCCATAAACTGATAAGAAAAGTAAAGCAAAAACTACCGCTGCGGAACTTGGTGTATGTGTGCCGAGTGGAAAACAAAAATTTATGGAAGGAAAATGGCGCCTACTGCCTACTAAATAAAAAAAAAAATTAAGCATTTTGTAAAACTGTCAAAAAAAAAAACGTGTCAACTAAACAAAATTATTTAAAAGTAATAAAATAAAAACCCTTCTTTTTTTTTTTTTTTTTGGTATGTTGAACAGAGATGAACTAAGCCAATAGATTTGTGGCTTATATGTCCTAAAATACCTTCTTAAATATTAAAAAAAAAAACTAAACATGGCTGACATAGTAAACGAGAAAGTGAGAGATTCTTTAAATAATAATGGCGAATCAGCTAGCTCCATGGACCCCATAGACGTGGAGAAAGCAATTGATGATGCCGCTGCAAATGTTGCTAACGCGACAAATGCAAATGAATTGAAAAAGTCGCCTGAACCCAGTGTCTCTTGTGAAGAGTTGGATGAGCTATCATCGCTGGAACGAGAAATAGCTAAAATGCATCATGCTGAGGAGTTTGAAGTTGTACCTTGTCTATCCACAACTAAGAAAGAAAGTAAGGATGAAATTAAAGAAGAAGCATCTAATGGTGACAATGTCGTGTCACAGGAAAGGCAAATCGAAACAGCTAAAGATGATACTAAAACAGTGGAGTCTTTGAAAAAACCTAAATCGGAGCATTTGGAAAATTCAATAAATGTTTTAACATCGAATGTGACAACTTTGGAGCATGACGATTTAATTGCAGTTTTGAAAGGTTTAGATTCGACTGCAGACGGCCCAGATAGTAAACTAGTTGATAATATTAAAACTGAACAAACAGATGCTGAGGGAGACGCTATGGGTGGCGTCACCATAGAGGGGGAAGGCGAATATCAAATCATCGAAGTGATAGACGAAGATTCAAATGCTGTAGAAGAAGACGTGGGAATTGTCGGGCAGCCAGAAACATCTCCCGCTCCGAGACCCCCGAATATTACAAAAAAATTACCCCAGACCGCCGTGCTTACTTCTGAAACTGAAAGGGCGTTGGCTTTGGAACAAATTGCCCTTTTAAAGGCTGACCGATCGCGCCGTCGTAAACAAGATATAAAACCAATTCAGCAACAACCAGAAATAAATGTAGATTTAGTCTCCGCTTTGGGAGCTGAATGGAGTGATGAAGACTTAAACGATAGTCATGCTGTTACGTCTGGAACTAATCAAATGAAAATAATGGAAGAAAAGAAGTCTATGCCGCAAATTACCAGTGTAGTGGTAATATCACCTCCCATACAAACAAATGCGTTACCAACCAGTACCACCGTTCCCAATACATCAAATTCGCTTGATTCCGAAGTTAAAACGTCAACTGAGGAAGCAGCGAAAGGGGAAAAGGCAACAGAACAAGGTGTAACATCGGGAACGGCGCAAACAGGTATGTTTTTGCTTTCCTTTACCTTAATAAAGAGACTTTTTTTTCTCTATGTCTCTTCCCACAAAATTTCAGGTTTTCGTCGTACTCGTATAATAAAACGTAAAATAATATGGGATCCAGATGCACCAGAAACCACATTCTCATACGCTAAGCTAGTAAAATCTAATCCTACAAAGTCAAAAGTGGAACCAAACACAAAAAACTCGACCATTATGACAAAAGGTTCTACAACAATAACAGCTATTAAAAAAGAACCAACAACAGCACGTAAAATAAGACCTGCTACACCAAAGGATAAGAAAGTAGCTGCAGAACAAAATCAAGAGAAGAAGTCAGCAACTGCAACAACGCGAACAAGCAGCAAAACAGTCACCGAAAATTCCACGGCGAGTGCAGCCAAAACATCAAAAACTACTGACAACCCTAACGCGGTTAAATCACCAACAATAACTGCAATCAAGCGGCGATCCCAAACTCCAATTGCTAATGGTTCAAGTGGCGCGCCTATCAGAAAGAAAAAAGTTACGGAAATAGATCGTCTGATGGGCGACGAAGGAGCTGTCAATATGTTAAATTCCTTGGAGACTGCCATGGGTAATACAGAAGAAAAATCCACTCGGCCTGTGATGCGCAGTCGTGCAACCATGATCAATGAGAAGGTGATTATCTATTGTCCACAACAACCCTTTTGTACGCGATAGGTTATTTAATTGAACGCGCGTACAAAATGTAACTTGATTTATATGGTCCTTTTAGATATAAATAACGAATAGTGAAGATTAAACACTTTTCACAATTTTTCTTAATTTTTAAGTTACTACTTAGATTAGTTGCGTAAAGGAGAATACAACTCGCGTAAAAAGAAATAATTTTTGATATGTCAATCCGTATAATTTCAAATTCATGCCAAATGATGTCCAGATGCATTCAGTCTTACAGCATTAGATATCTGATCTGTTTATTTTTTTTTATTTTGACAGACGCCACGCGTATTTAAAACGAATGATAATACGACCACAGCTGTCTCTCCCTCGACATCAGCAGCAAACTCAAGTCAAATTACAGTTAAGACTAGACGCACTCCTAGACCAAGAGCTTCGGCCACTTGGGACTATGTATATCAAAAACAGAAGGTTATGGATGATTCGATGATTATACGTAGACGTTCGAATAGTTCATATTCTAGTAATACTTCAATCCATCGTTTAAGCATAGATGGTCCACAGTCAGGGACACCAACATCTTCTTCTTTAACAAATATAACTGCAATATCATCTAAAGCTAAGGCTAATGTTACCACGAATACCACAAAGAAATTAACAACAAAACCAACGCTAGCAGGAGAGACGTCTGGCGATTCGTCCATGAACAAAAGTGGCGTTAGCTCAAAAAGCAGCGTGAGCACAATTAGTGGTAAAACATTCGAATTTGCAAAACCTGAGAATAAAGTACAATCGAAGATTGGTAGACGCATTAAAAGCCCTGGAACCACTCTCACTAATGATCTAAAGAAAACAACGATTGTCCCAAGCAAACGCAATGTTCGCAGTCCAGCTACGACGACGGATGATAAGGATAAATCAACAAAATCTAATTTAATGAGTGGCAACAAAGACGGTAAAGATAATACTCTTAGTGCGTCAGTGGCAACGTCAGGTTCAACCTCAGATGTAGTGGTTAAGAAAGCAGCAAAAGTGGCTCAGATCATATTTAACACGAGTAAAGCAAAATTGAAATATACCTTCACGGCACAAGTAAGAGTTGTGTGTGAAATTAATGAATTTATTGATTCTAACTTTTATTGTCTTTTAAAGATGATGAACAAACTAGTAGATATTTTAGACAAACTAAGATCAGATACGGAATGCCATGCTGTGGTTATGTCTACTACTAGCCCACATTTTTGTCAAGGTATTGATATAACTGATCTAACTGTTGGCTCCGTGGAGAAACGCAAATCTGCAGCTTTTTTCATGGCCGCGGCAGTCAAGTACGTATTAAAATTTCTTATTTGAAACTTTGATTTATAGGAATTGTTTTTAGAAATTATTTGAAGGCTTTGGCGACATACCCAAAACCGTTAATAGCCGCTGTTAACGGCAATAATATTAACTTGGGTGTAATGCAATTGGCGCTATTTGATATAGTTGTCGCTGGCGAAAAATGCACATTCGAAACGCCTTACGTTAAAATTGGTCAAGTACCCGAGGGATATTGTATTTGGAATAATATTACAAAAATACGTGGTTCTTGCGTAAGTGACAATTAAATAATTTCATACATTATTAAACTTGTTTCGTATTTAGAAAACTAAATTGTTTTGGCTGGGAGAAAAATTGCAAACAGCTGATGCTGCCTTATCGGGTCTATTAAATAAGTTAACTGCCCCGACAAAAGTGAATGAAGAAGCTGTAAATACCGCTCGTAAAATTGCCTCCATGTCGGCTCAGGTATTTCACTAATTAGAAATTTTATACCTATTTACACCTAAATCTCTTTCTACGTGCTATATGATAATTTCTAAAAATAGAAATATGTATTCCGTAAAGACGAGATTTTCTGGGTCGGCTTTTTTTTTTTTTCTTGGTGGGTGATTAGTTGTCGTATACTGGGCATCTGACATCTCGCGTAATTTAACTTTTTAATGAGTAAATATTTTTGTATCCCCTGACCTATGGACTACATTTAGATAAACTACCCATTAGAAATTCCACAGAGTTCATATAATGTTCAATAGCGTGATCAGCGCAATTGTTTCCACTATCCTTTTGTGCATGCGGTAATGTTACGACTGCAACCCCAAAACTCTTTCCAACAAAAACATCTTTGGGCACAAATTATTTCTTATCCCTCTCATTAACCTAAGTCTGAAAATGATCTAAATCAACGAAGGACTCGTCGAAAATTATTAAAGAATGCATATAGTTAATGTATGGCATATGAATGCAATTTTTAGCTTTTATAATTATCGATGGGGGTGCTCTCTGCGGTTACATAAAAATGCGACTTAAATATTTTTGATCTACAGATACCTAGGTGCCAGGCCAAGCATACTTCCTTTCTTCTTGTTACACTAGATTTTATATTAATCGTGCTCGTATTCTAATTAAGGCAAATTCAATTCACGAAAAAAGAGGCCGAGGTTTATTGTGAATCCATAGTAAAAAAAACTAATAAAACTCAAAAATTTTTGTTTTCAGACATATCGCGTTATGAAAAAAACTATTGTTCATAGTCATTTAGATACAATTGCCACAGCATTGGATGACGAATTCGAGACTATCATTTCTCAATGGATTTCAAACAGTTACATGGAGCATATGAGAAAATATTTAGAGACAGGAGAATTTTGAATTGAAATTATTTTTAATATTTCTTTAACTTTTCTGGATTATTTCGCCTTACACGTCAGGGGTATGGCCCATTACGTTCTATTTTTTATTACATTTTATTTTTGTCATTATTTTTACAGAAATTAAAAAAAAAAAAAGAGATCAAAAAAATAATAATGCATGTTCTTGTTCTTTTTTTTTTCTCAAAAATTAAATACCTGTTAAGCCTATAGACAAATTATCCTTATTTTTTTAAAATCATAAACAATTCATTTTCAGTTCAGTCCCGTTTTTTATTCAGTTTAGTTTTGCAATAATAAATAATAAACATTTTAAATGTATGAACTTAAGCTTTAGAACATATCTTTGAAAGAAAACAGGTAAGTTATTGCCCTTTACCTGTATTTGCTCATATATAAGAACTCGTAAAACGAGGGCAGCAAACAAATGTTTGCAATAGGTTTCTCCTCTTAACAGATATTTTGAAACATTATGATTCCATTCATGGCCCCTTAAGCAATTGAAAGAATGATTTAGACTTTCTTCGCATCTACCCAGTGGTTATTTCATTTTCCATTTGTTTTATTTCCACTTGCATTGTCTTAATAACTGTTTCGAAATTACGTATATCTGAACTTATTTGTTCTAAGCTTGTGGCAATGTTTCGCATGCGTTCCCGATCAATTTGTATCTCCAAGTCGCGGATTTCTTTTGTTGTCTGTCCAGTTTGTGAAACCAATTCAGAGATTTCATTACAAGCTGCATGTAAAGACGCTAAAAATTTATAAGCCTGTTTAGCATGCAAATCATGCTTGGCGCTCTGGAAAAGTAGATCATCTGTATAGTTAAACTGTCGTTCCAATTGGGCCGATATTGAATTTAACTGTTTCTGAAGATCACGGGTATCGTCTAAGATTTTATATATGTCGTTGCGTTGCTTGCGAATATTGCCTATAAATTCGTGTATACGACGGGTGTATTCTTTTCGCGGAGCAGATGTTGAGGATGCTTTTTTTAATTCCTCCCCAAGCTGAACGTGTTGACTAATTTTTCCCTTCAAAGTAGTTTCCAATTGCTTTATTATAGTTCTTAATTCCTGTATATTTTGCAAATTTTTTGCTTGCCTTAACGTTTGCAATTCATTGATCTTCTCTAAAGCGGGTTGCCTATGCGATTTCCATTGGTTTTCCAATGTTTGTCTACGTTCTTTCGTTTTTTCAATCAAATCTTTTAGTTTGCTGAGATTCTCATCGGGATTTTCTAACACCATACAACAGCGTTCATGAATTTTCATATCTTTACGCAATTGTTCTGTGATTGCTAATGTATTGGCCTGTTGTTGACGTAAATTATTTAATTTAGAACTGGCTACTTGACGTTTATTCAGAATTTCATCGTTTCGCAGCTTCAACGAGTCTACTTCCTGAGTTAGCTGTTCTAATGTGGTAAAAGCTGTGATAGTTTTATTTGAAATAACTGGCTGTTGGCTGGCATTAACGGTCGGCTCCGTTTGCGTTATCGTTGAGTTGTTGGAACTATTTGTAGAGTCTTTTAAACATAAACACATACCTTTTAAAGATAATTCTTGATAATCATATACATCTATGGAATTTTTATGCAAAACCGAACTTAAAAGATCATGGCCAGTTTCTGCGATTTGTTGAAATACATTTGGTATTTGATAACTGATTGAATTTATATTCCTTTGGGACTGAGGGTTGCTTCCCTCATAGCTACCGGGAATATTTAAACTTACTTGTGGGTCAAAGGGTATTGACTGACTGCTGCAGCCCCAAGCCTTTCTATTTGCTACTCCTCTACAGTACTGCGGAACCCATGGCGCTTTCATCTGTACGGCTATTTGCCGTTTGATATCTCTCATTAACAAAATAAAGTCATTTTTCTCCTCACCCGTTTGCGCATCCGTACTAGATTCCAATTCTTTAGGTAAATGTTCAATTAAAAACATAAATAAACGCCTTACATCCACTACGTTCGGGTAGAGAAAAGTTTGATAACCTATGTCGCCGCGATAACCGCAAGAGCCGCACATTTCACCCAAGAGAGTAGCTATTGTAAATCTTTGGGCCATATTTTCGGGTAGCGACTTAGGTACAGCAATAGTGGGATTAATTTCTTGCAGGCACTTAGACACCGCCCTCACTAATAAATTCGGTGTAAAATGTTGCAAACCAAAAGCTACGTCATCTCCTTCCTCATCGGGTTCTAATTTACAACCAATCTGCTTTAAGGAATGTATTATAATTTTGTCAACTTCATCCATATCGTGTACAAAGTAAAATTATTTATATACACTTTTCGAGAAATCAGGAAGTATCTAACTACAGTGTTACAATTATTTATTTGCTAATTATTAAAATATTTTACACTCTTTCCCACACAGAGTTGCCAAGCAATTTAACAAAGAAAAGGAAGATACATTTAGCGATTATGTGTGAATCAAAGCAATGAACTGTGACCGTGCATATAACAACCAGTGAAACATATAAGATTTTATTAAAAAGTTTTGGTTTTTTATATTCATTCCATTTTTCTCATTTATCGGATTGTTTGTAATGCATACAAATATATGTTACGTACTTCTGATAGTTATATAACGATTTTGCATCGATTTGAATCTTTCTATTCCATTCATATTTAGCTTTTTATTGGAACGTTCACGATTCTAAATGCGTTTACGAAAATCATCTAAAATTCGAGAAGCCTTCTACAGACACGTGCACAACAGCCAATACGAAATATTGATCTATATTTTGATAGAAATATTTCCTTGGTCTTTATCAAACAACTTTCACGTCCGCGTGAAAAAAATATATCGCAATTCTAATGTTTTGCTTTAAGATAGCAGATATCAACGGTTACAGCAATGCCTGTAACTTTCTTGCTTCTCTTTGCTTGAACTTACATCTCAGCGCCTTTTTTGTTGTTGATTTGCTGAATAGTATAAGAATAACAACTTACACCATTCCTACTAAGTTTCTTTTTTTAAGTTTCGCCTTGGTTTACTCATAAGCCAGACGATGCGATATATTAATTGTCGAATTCCCTTAGCAACTACTCAAAATACGATCGAAAATATCTGGCGCAAAGATATTGCATGATCTGAAAAAAAAAAAACTGCGGCTAGGAGCACCTAGCAATCTGTTCCTAAAAACGGTACTCTCGGTTGTTGAAAAATTGAAGTAGTGTACGAAATTAATGAAAATATTTTTTATAATATTGAATAAAAAACCCAAGTTTAGTAATTTGGTGGAAAATATGTTTCCTATGCAATAAGTTGCTCTAAAATAGTAGAGAAAAGCAAAACATTTATATAGATTTTTTCTTCTTCTTGTGTGAGTCAAGAAATCAACAGATGATTTCTTCTTCTTTTTTATATGAATTACCTTTGATGTTGTTAAATTTGCATTCATTTTTGAGCAAGGCACAATTTGTTATTTTCGCAGGAGTGCATTTTGATGTGCTATTATTTTCAATTACCGATACAATAAAGTCTTGCTAAAGAGTGTTCTGAGGAATGGACATATCGTTATAAAATATGGGTTGAATTCTAAAAACATTAAAGTTGAATCATTGTTTCGGATGGATATTCTCGAATGTTTTTTTGGTTTGTTGAAAACGTTTAAAGTGAGGGCTTTCTAGCGTGATTGTATATCCAATAGCAGTGTTAAAATTTCTCTTTCACTAAATTCCTAATTTAAGAATTTTTTCAAGTAAAAAGAAATTACTGGACCCATATAATACGGTATTTTTGACTGACCATATACCCTACGAGTGAAAACTGGCAGTAGTTGTTCCAATTCTAAAGTCAAAAAATGTCTCCATCGCATCGGATTATCGCCCAATCTCTCTTTTATCTTGTCTCTCAAAAGTATTAGAAAAGATTAATGCATCTAGAATATCTTGGTATCTTGAGTCCAAGAACCTGATTACAAAGCGTTAAGTTGGTTTCAAGCGGGGTTCATCGACGCTCTTTTACACATTGATTATTTGACAAGGAAAGCAATTTCCGAACGGAATCATGTAACAATTCTCTCAATTGATTTCGAAAAAGCATTTGACAGAGTTAGTCTTCATGTTATTTTAAGACTCTTGAAATCATGGAATGTTGGACCCAAATTCTTCAACTACATCAAATCATTCATGTCGCATCGGCGGTTCAAAGTTAGAATCAACAATTACCTCTCTGATTCCTTTCCGCTAATGAATGGCATTCCGCAAGGATCTCCTCTCTCTGTCACGCGTTTCCAGATCGCCTTCAACGAAATTAGCAAAATTCCGTGTACCGAGGATCGAACATTGTCTCTATGCGGGTGTTGTATAGTTTTACAAAAGAAAAAGATAGCTCGAAGGCAATCAACATCCTCGAATCTGTTGGACGAAAGATCTCCACATGGGCAAATTCGTCAGGGGGTAAAATTTCTATGCAAAAATCAAAAAGATGCACATTTATCGAAAGCAGATATACCGTGCAGAAAATCTACTGATGCATATTAATGACTTACCAGTACTAAACGTGCAGACGCTCCATATTCTCGGGCTTACGTTTTCCAGCAAACAACGCTGGAAAACACACTGTCTTCGGTTAAAAAATTCTATTTTAACAAGGCTGAATTTCATATAGCATGTTGCTTGGAAAAGCCATGCGCACATTAACACTATTGCTTATCTTACCAAAATGCTTTTTTTAAGCAATAGCTGCAAATCTAGCATCAACATCCTCAAACCGGTCTATCACCATGCCCTCAGAGCAAGTTGTTACGCTTTAGAAAATATACTTTATGAGTTAAAAGCTAAAAAAGTTCGCAAGCTTCTTAATTCAAACAAATCTGTTCTCGGTGAAGACGTGAGAAAGATTATTATTGCCAAGAAAATTCGAAAGTCACCGTCTGCAATTGACTATTGTTGGACGTTGCAAATGAATCAAACATTCCCTGAAAAGTTTTCCGCTATTTTTGTGTTAAATCTCTATGGATTTTGAAAGACTGCTCTTTTGACATTTCGCTGTCTGTGCAAAAGAAAGAAGATACTCCAAATTACGTCTTCAGGAGTCTAATAACTGAAAAAACTCAAGTACTGTAGAGTAATGGTTGGAATCTTTTCTACACAGACGATTCAAAATCTTCTGGTCTGCCTCCTGCTTGTGCCGTGGTTGATGCTACAGGACAGGCTCTTCTCAATCACATATTTCACGAAAGTACTTCAATTTTCACAACCGAAGCCAGAGCTACCCTTCACGCTGCGAACCTTTCCCATAAAAACAAACTCAAAATCGTCAATGTTACAGACAGTTTGTCTATATTAAAAGCTATACGGAATCTGCCGACTTCGAGACGGAGCACCATCAACAAATTAAGGGATATCATTACAATACCCGGCGAAAAAATTAAAATGTTATGGGTACCTAGTCATATCGGTTTATTGGGAAATGAGCAGGCTGATCGAGCGGCGCAGTATGCTGCTTCTGCACCTCTAATTATGGATGATGTCATGGAAAAGTCGGATCTTCAAAAATACATTTGACGAAAAGTTAAAGGAAAATTACAGAAGGAAATCTGCAATACCATCATTAGCACTACTCTTTTATTAACCCTCAATTAACTCCACCTTTATATCCAACAAATGTTGAGAAAATCAAGATCCAAACATTTTCGAGAATTCGCCTTGGTCATACAATTGCAACTCACCAATGGATCTTGGAGAAGTCTTCCTCCCCAATCTGCGGTTGTGGACAAACTCTCACCATAAAGCACATTCTCTGCCACTGCCTTAACTTTACCTTGGCTAGAAGTATTGCAATTGGAACGATTAATCCTATGGACATTTTACAATCAGCTACAGAACAGAATATCATTACCAATATATTACTTTATCAGAACTACTAAGCTTAACATCTAATGTACTTTTATAAATTAGAGCCGATAGCCAGTGTAGCTAGTGCTCAATGTTTTTTTTTTAGTCTAAGGATTATTTCATTAGTCTAAAATTATAATAATAATAATAATAATAATAATAATAATTTTTTAGTTTGAATTATTTGGTTTATTTTTCTTACATTTTTGATTTCATTGACTTATTGGTTATTTTAATATTTGTTGGTGATGAAATTAATATTTTTTTTCAGTTGACGTATATACTGAAGTTGGTTATGTTTTCGCTAACGACAATATATAAACTGCATATTCTGGGATCAGTTTACATTTTATCTTGTTAAGGTCATTTGAAATGGTCACTTTTTCATGATACAACAAACGAAACGAGATAAAAATATTTTACATTTTCTACCAAGTTTCTATCAATGCCGTCGTCAAATTGAATATGGCCACATACGTAAATACCCATGTGGGCATCGGTGTATATTATATCTTAATCGTATAAATTTTACTTACCCCCTGTTGTGATAATAATCGATGGTTGACTTAAGGACACCATATGTCTAGATAAAAAAAATAATGAATTGATCGCAACAAACAGCTAATGTAACAAATTGTATCTTTATGATTATTTTATGATAATCAAAGCTCAGCAACGAATGCCACATCTTTTGCAAGACTTATACAATGTTATAGAGTTTATGTTGACTTTTCAAATATGCCTTATTCTCTTTCCCTCTCATATCCTATAAATACGAAAGATGTCAAGTGGTGATATCAGGTGATGTAAATGAAATAAATGTACATATTTATGTTGGAATTATTATTGGTATTAGCACAAAGAATCGATTAAAGTATATTGATTCTTTTCAATTATTAGATAATTAGATAATTTGTAGTATTATTGTATTTTGTTTCGTCTTGTGTTCCAAGTTCACCTAGTAAAATGGGGTTCCCGGACTGTAAATCTTAACACAAGACCAAAATGTACTTTTACGGGCATGATTTAATGAATCAGGGTTTGCCTTACATATACAAATTGATTTCCTAATTTGATGATTCTGTATAACTATGCCTTTTGCCACGTGTTTTTTTAAATCAATTTTCGTTCACAGGTTTTTTCGTTTGACCCATAATGCTTTTCGTATTATGAATTGCAGTTCACAGTGTTCACGGTGTATGAATTAAAACGAATCCCTTATGCAAAAGATAGTACGACGCTTCCATATTATTCAAAAATAAATTTAAATTTTTGTTTGGCTTTGTTCGTTCTAGTTGTGAATGGTGCAAGCATTACGCCACTCGTTTGGTTCTTTTATGCGTCATTCATTGGTTTGGTCATTCATTCGCGAGCCACATTTAAACACTTGATATACGCAGATACTCAAGCACCTACCGATTGGGACCACCGTTGTCAGAATATGCTTAGTAGATATCCCTGGTTCATCTATTGCTTATTTTTGATGCTGGCTATGCAGTCACTTTTTGTTCACCATAATGTCATGACTGCAGGATGGTGTCAAAATTGTAATACTATGTTTTAATATTTTGAATTACACATACACTTGGATTGCTTTGGCGAGATTAGGAGCTTGTACTATCAAAATTTTTTCCCTACGAGGACTTTATCCGCTGATGAGCATAGACAATGGGGATGGACATGAGGATTTTTACATTTTTCAGAAGAGCTGATGTTATCTCTATTTTACTGATTTTCACCGATTTAATTTTAATTATGATTTGGTTGTGATCGTAGTTATTATAGTGAAATGCTCGATAGGTAAAGACATAACACTTCGTCTCTAATTAATCATCGTGCTTATACGCTTTTAAAACAAATCGCCTGAGTAAAGGGTAATTTGAAAAAAAAACACCCGTTTTTCACTCAATGTTAGGCACATTTCTTCATATTTTGGAATATACAAGAGAAGGACAATTGTAAAGTCATGCAATCTGTTTTAGTTGTTGACCAAAATTATTTGGTTATTGGATACTGGAATTGGTAACAACTTGAAAATGCGAGGATGGAAGTGTTCATCGAAAGTGTGGGTCATAGCATAAAATGTGGCTGTGGATTTCGCTTCAGCCGGTTCTTTGCTATGTTTAGGTAAGAGGACTAAACAGTTCGATGATATGATGGCCCTATTATTGTATTGCAACGTTAAGGTAGCTGGCGCCTCCTTTCAAAGGATTTCGGCTCTTAAGCGCGTCTTAGCCCAGACGACGGATAACCGGCCGCTATTTTCTACCAGTCATATTCATTTTAAAGGATTCGTTCAAAATCTTTTTAAGTTAAAAAAAAAAACGGGAAGCTATTGCTGCTTGGAAGATCGATTTACAGATGACTCTATAGGATTTTTTCGAGAAATAAGAAAATATTGTTGCTTTGGCATCATGGCGCGTTAAAGAAAGGAAGGTCTCAAAATCAACACCTAAGCCAGTAACTAACGCAAAAGAAAATGGTGTGCATATATTGGGTGATAAAAACCTCTACGTGTACTAATAGCTACCACTGGGCGAGTAAAGGTGGCCGAATCAAACGAACTAATCATCAAGATCAAGTGTTTTCATCTTGTGTAGTGAAAATCGGTAAAGACGTTTTGTAACAAATTCACTGGAAGATTTTTGAACAGTATACCTTGCTCTAACAAATTTTTAGCTTTTCCATTTATTGGGTGAACGGCAGAATTCAATCGATTTAAACTCTCAGTGATTTCACGAGTCGTGGTTCGCCGATTTGTTTCAATTGCAGCCCTTATAATAACTTCTACTGCCCTTCCAGAGCGAGCGGTGTCAATATTTGATGCAAAGGAAAGAAAAAGAGGCTTCGAAAAATATGAAAACCAGATTGAACCATTTCGGGGATCAACAAGTTGATCGAGTTAAGGGACAGGATTAAGAATTCTACTCGGCGTTCATTTATTTTTACGATTCTTGTATTATTGGATAAACGTTTCTAATAATGCAAAAAAAAAAAAAAATCTACAAACTCTATATAACTCATTAATATTTAAACAAACGCTTGTGTAGGCCTCGTGTATTTTTTTATATATTTTTTTATTATAATACCTTATAATATTCAACTTGTGTTGGTTTTTTATTTTTTGATTTTTTAATTTATGTCTGTTAATAGTAACCGCAGTGTTTTAATGTTTAAATAGATTTTCTGGTAATTGTTTTTTTCTCTTCTTTTTTTCTTTCATAGCGAACACTGAATAATTTGCAAATGATGCTTAAAGATATAGAATTTTCTGTGTTTATATACTTTTTCCTTATATATATCTTTTATTTGATGTAAACCTTTTAATGAGATAAAGTTCTTTTTCTCTTTTACATTAATTCAATTTATTTAAAACTAGAATAAAATTAACTAAATCATTAAGAGAAAAGGACGAAATAATAATAATGAAATAGAAAACAGATTTTTTTTTTAATAAAAAGGCGGATTGGTTTATATATATATTGCCTCAAATAACAGAAAACACATTTGATATGTTTTTTTCTTATATATTTTTTTATTATTATTTTTTTTTTTTCATAAAAATCACTCTAAACAAAAGATAAGGAAGAACGAGAGTTAAATCAAATTTACTTTTATACAAAATTTCTTTATAATGAATATTGGCACACTATCTAAGTCTTCGAAGTTTTTTTTTTTAATTTTTTCTTTTAAATATTCACCACTAGAGAGCGAGTAATTTGCAATGAAATTTCAATGTACATCCATAGTACAATCGATTATAACACATGGAATAATATCTGTCAGGGGTATCTTGAAAAAGAGTTCAAAAAAATTTTGGCTCTCATATAAATTGGTTTTGCTACAGACTCTCTTTGTTTTTGAAGCTATGTAGATCTCTGTAGATGTAGATTTCCGAAAATATGTATAAATATTCACGTGAATTTTAAAAGCAAAATTTGTAAGATATTTTACTATTATGATAGGAAAACTTAGGCTTTATTGAAAACTCTATCTCACTTGAGGTTTCAATCCACGACGCTGTTAATTGAGGTAATTTGCCTACTAGACCACTCAGGCGGATCTGATGGAAAGTTTTTCGAAATTTAGTCTTGCAATAGAAAATTGAAAAAATCTACTATTTTCACGGATGGGATACGCTTTATAATTACAAATGGTAACCGAAACTGTGCTCGGCTGTGGCAGAATTAAAAAAAAAACAAACTGAAAAAAGCTTACAATGAAATGAAATTCGGCACGATTTTTTCGTTTTGTTTAGGGGCACTCACTCTAGCGTCATTTATAGGGCGTGGATATGGAAAGCCATATTGTTGTGTGTGTTACAGAAAAATAGCTGGATTTTTTTTTTTTTTTACAAAATTAGCCTATGTATAAGGCTTTGTGAAGTTCAAAGGACCCATTTTCAATTGTGGGTCTACAGGCAGACGAGCAGATGAACGGACGAATTGATAGGCGTCACTAAATCAATCAAAGATCTGATTCTAGTCAAGCATATTATATTTTCTATAGGGGGGCCTCTTAAGCTTACTTAAGTAATTGAGCATTTTTTACTCAGCACAGTAAACCATCTATTGTTAATTTTCCGACGCACAGAAGAAGAAGAAGAAGAAGAAGAAGAAACAATTCAGCCATTTTCTTGATATCTTTTAAGAGAGAGAAAGAGAGAGAGAGAGATCTACTGCTTTCTTATTAGTTTTCTGGATGCTCTATACTTGGCTTTAATGGTGAATAGCTCTTATTCGAAATGTAAACGAATATTCAATGTATAAAATTGAAGCTTCCTTTCCATTTACATATGTACGGGTTCTGGGATATAAAGTTAGATTCATGACGAAATAATCATTTTTCTCTCTTACATGATTATGATGCAAGGGAACTTATTTATGTAATATTTGAAATTTATTTTAGCTTTTTTTTATATCATAATATACATAAGTAGGAGTATTGAATTTTTCATTTGTCTTTGTGTTTTTTTTTAATGAATTTACAAGCTTAAAAATTATTTAACAACATTTAATGTATTATCGTGGGCTTGTTTTAAATAATTTTTCTTTTTTTCTTCTTTTTTTAATATAAATCTCATTTAAGATTAATTTTACAAAATATGAGTACTGGAGAAACTGAAATGCCTTTAGAGAGTATAAACTTTTTTTTTATAAATATAAATGTTCATAATAAATTACAGATTATTTACACTTTCCTATTATTCGAAATATATTTCTTCTCTTTATATAACATAAATCCGTATGAAAAATGTCAATCGTTTATTAATTGACATTTAAACCTAAGTGCATTGCGTATACGGTTCACATCTGAACTGTGGATCATTCGTTATTCAATTATTCTTTTTTTTTCTAATATTTGTTCTCTCTGCTCGTGTTGTAAGTAGTTATTCAGTTACTTACTTAGATTACGCTATGTATGCTTAAGCTTTGGATCAAATTTCATGTCATTTTCTCCGTCTATATTAAGGATATATACATATGTAACGAAGCGATATCTATGCCTTAAGGTATAAGATGAGGAAAATAAGTATGAAGAGATTTTCTGTAAGGTTTTATTGAGATTTTTTCAATGTAGAGTCGACTAAAGCGACTTACGTTTTTGATATCGACACTTTTGCAGAGCGGAAACCAGCAAACTAGTAAATTCTTTCAGAGATTTCTCACTTTTTGACACAAATGTAACTTTTGAGACTGTGGACGAAATGTATTTTTATAAAGATTTTATAGTGAATTCTCAGCATTTAAATGTGCGTCATTGTGACGTAATATGATTGTTGTTACATAATATACAATAGCAACGAGTTTCAAGCGATAAAACTCTTTAATACTTTTTCTCTATATGTTATTAGAAGGTACCTTGGTATACGAAAACTTTCAGTTCTAGGATAAATATTGTGTCTATTCATCAGCATTGCTTTGGTGTGCGAACACATTTGTCATGCCTGTCAATAGGGAAGTAGGAGGGGTATAATAGATTTGTCTTTCCATTCTTAGTACCTAAAAGTACGCGGTGGTGACTCCAAAAACAACATACAGTAAACTTAAGATTCTAAGTTTTGTTCGCCCTTCCGTCCCTTACTCTATGCGTACTACTGTCATCGGATGCTGGAAGGTTAATAGTCGCAAAAACAAACATCTAAGACGAAATCATGAAGTAAAACTTGAAAATCTTTGCAGCTCTGCCCTAGTTGGTAGACTCACAATTCCTAATAAAGTTTGATCTAGAATTTGAAAGCTATGCTTATTAAGGTTATCTAAAGGTTTAGAGCGAAAGTAATCCGTCTAAAATCTACCCCACAATAAGTAACGTGGAATTTTTAACAAACGCTTTTTAAGGCCACGTAAATATTAAATCTTTGTTCTCCTTGTTCTTGTCTAGAAATATGTGCAACCGATTAGTTCGCGGCGAAAAAGTTTTTCACTAGTAGCGGTTGTGTACCCAATTTGTTTCCGCCCCGAGCTTATGTTATTAGAAAGCAATCTGCCGAATCGATTCCGACTCTTCGCCACAACTATCAAGTGATATCCGACCCGGTTGATAGAGCTAACGTGCTGGAAATGTTTGCTTCAAACTCAAATTTACCACATAGCAATCAACCGCTGTGACCGCTCCAAAGAGTCACATCTTCGATACCTACTATTATTTTGAACGAGGGTCGCGAAAAAGCGTCTTGTCAATCTCAATACTTGTTAAGTTCCCGGGTAAGGCGTTTCAGCCACCGTACTAAAAAAATTTGTTGACACATTCGCTAGACCATTGCGCAATCTGTTCAGCAAATGCTACAACACTAGCGTTTTTCCAACTTGCTGGAAGTTTGTCCTTTTCCAACCCATATCCAAGAAGACTGCACTAATGCTGCAAATTATCGCCCAATTGCAGTGTGTTACGCTGTATCCAAGGCCATGGACGTCATGATCAACTACCACCTAACGAGATATCTAGATTCTAACGATCTAATGGGCGATAGACAACATGGCTTTCTCAAAAATCGGTCCACTGGTGACTTAATGTCCTACCTTACCGAAGAGTGGAACCGAGCTGTTCGCCACTTTAGCGAAAGTGAGGTTGTTGCGTTAGATATATCCAATGCGTTCGGCGAAGTATGGCGCGATGCTTTTGCCTCCAAGCCGATTGCATTTCGTGTCAATATCATGTTCATGCTTGATTCATATCGAATTTCTTAGACAACCGCTCAATAGGAGTTGCGATCGACGGGTACCTCCCAAACGAATTCTATTTAAACGCATGTCTATCACAAGGCTCTGTCCTTTCTCCTTTTCTTTCGGTATTCCTTAACCTCCTTCTGCGCACAACAGAGAACCCACTTTATTCCCAGACGACAGCATAGGTCATTTTCCTTTAGTAAGGGACCATGCAGCAACGATGTACAGAGCAAACCCTGCATTATCAGTCAGTGAATAATCAGGGATCAGACTAAAAGGTTAGGCGTCAACGTTTCCAAAACTCAAGGCTGTCTTCTAACGCACTGGAAAAGTTATGAACAATACCTATCTTTTGGTGTCAATATAGATGTGCTAGACATGAGAATAAAAAACGCTCTTTGGACAGAACATGTGTTTGAAGTGTCGAAGCACGCAGCTGAGGGCTTAAGGTTATTAAGGCGGTGCAAAATATCTTTCACTCCAGCCGAAAGTCCATTTGCGCCGAGTATATCTGGCAAAAATTAGTCTTAAATTCGTATCTCTGGGCGGGAGCATTCAAAATTTGCTTGAAGGCCCACATTCGCACACAGCGATAGGCTCAGATGCTCACGGAGAACGAAAGTGCGTCCAAAAGTCTCCATATCCTTCAGCATCGGCATAATGTGCGCTATGTTTAGAGCATGTGTACAGTCACATCCAGGGTAAGTGTTTTATAGAGATAGAAAAATTTTGGCCACCAATTATGTCCTTTAATAGGATTACATAGCTTCCTCGACGTACCCATCAACTTGTCCTGGAATTATCTGCGTACTGCACAATACATTTCCGCGACTAGTCGTTTTTTAACCGTACTTAACGTAACAGCGATGTTTCCCACCGAACCTCATGTTTCTAGTTTCAAAATGAAAGCTCACAAACACTACTCCGTTTCTCCACCCCTCCCTTCCCATAATTCTTCCTGATCACCACCTTGTCCGCGGATATAGGGGACGTTCCTTCAGTGGCTGGTCGGAAAAATAACAACGAAAAAATGATATGAACTATTAAAATTCATATATCGTGAATTAATGGATAAACAATATACGAATATTTCTCGCGGAAAGTTTTTATATAATGATTTTTTTAGTCGCTATGTTAAAGTAAAACCTGGCGTATAAAATTTGAGCAGATGTTTTTAATGCGAGGAATGTTTTGTAATAGATCCAATAAACCCGTCTTTCAGTGTACGAACCGATCCAACAGAATTATCCTCTGAATTCCACGTTGGTTTGTTTTGGCTCAAACGCCAGTTAATTCAGAATGGATTGGATCGCATCATTTCCAAAACCAGTTTTCGTCTGAATATTTACTTTGGAAAAAGCGTTGTAAAGTATTGTAAGATATTGAACTGTCGACTTTGCCCGTTAATCACACTTTTAATTTGTTTTTTTTCGTTTCTTTTTAGGTTTATATGAATCCTTTATAAGAATACTCTGTTTAGACCAAATAATGAGATTTCAATATTTTAACATTTTTCCCGGTACTTTTTTGGAGAGAATGTGCATTTTTCAGATGTACTGTGTAGTTAACATTATCTTCGACATATATACGTAAAGGTAAATGGTAAAAAAAATTAATTATTCGTATTTCTAATAAAAAAAATTGTGTTCATTCGTAAGCGGATTCGGATAAGAATGTAGTCGCTTGATTCAAATCAATAACGTCATGTTACTTCTCTGTGCTAATACCTGGAAGTAATGGGGTTCCCTCTATCGAGATTATGTCATTCTCTAACTTTCATTGGCGGAAGGATACACGGTTCTATATAAATTTCAAATTCGAAGTATGCTGCGACGATCAAAAATATTTGTTGGGAAGAGATGTGCATGGAAATTTGTATCGTTTACTTAAATGTACATTTTTGAGAGTGACTGCAGAAAGAACGACGCCAAGTCTGATATTTCCATTTTAGTTCTGAGTTCGTTGTATGTTTCGTCAAAGACGATAAGGGGAAAGTACAAAATAGAAAACAAAAAAAAAAAAAGAAGTGGCGAAGAGAAAGCCGAAGAGAGAAGGCGAGAGAAGAAAATGCAAAGCACCCTATGAGGGTACATTTCACTGATGATTTTTTTTGAGACGATAAAGCAAAGGTCACAGCTTTTTATGTTTTTGAACAATACAACTAACGAGCGCAATGAGAGACAATAATAGAGAATTATTTGGACTTGAAATCTTTACTTTATCAGTTTGAGTCCTTCGTCTAGCAGGGTGTTTTTAAGTATTTCAGAAATATTACGAAAAAAAAAAAAATAAAATTTGTATAATCTCATGCGCTCTGTGGTAGTTATAAAGCCTTTGCAAAATTTTCTTTTCCTGGTCTTCCTTTCTTTGGTCTTTGACTTTGTGTGTCGCAAAAGTTTATTTGTTAAATTGTAATCCTTCGTTCTGTTATTAACGGTTGAAGTAGATTTTCATTGCAAAATGTATATTAACCTCATTATAGGATGGCAGTTGTAATGTCTTTATTTTATGGGCATTTTATTGTAATTTTTATATGCCTTAAAGAGGTTGAGTAACTGAAAACACAATTAAGGAGAGAGAATGGAAAATTAAATCTACTTGGTTTGCAGTTTGCTTTAGGAGAAAGAAACTTTTCGAAGCAGGGCTTAGTAAAAGTCATTAAGTGATTGACTTTTTCCTTAAAATATATGGAAAAGTTTTTATTTAATTTTCCCTAATAATTGTAATATTGTTGGTGTTCCCATTCGACTTAATTACTTTTTCTCGTCACATTATTGAAAAACATCCGAGCTACTTTACCTAAAGCTCCTACAATATCCCAACTATCTTTGGTTGCGATGCCATGTGTATGAGTTACGTCCAATTGTCTTGCGTAATTTGGCGACATAAGAGGAGAGATGCCTGGTTGTTGTTGTTGTTGCTGTTGCTGTTGTTGAAAATGTTGACAGTCTTGTATTAGGTCTACCTATGAAGGGGTTGAATACCAACCGCTGGTCGGAGCACCTTTGTGATATAAGTGAAAACTAGAGGAATGTGGTGTAAAATATTGAGGTTGATCCAAGTTGCTATAAGTTAAGCCGCTGGCAGCATCTGTGGTATTGCTGTGATGCATGGCAGCTGAAGCGGAGTATGGCTGCGGTTTAAGTGGTAAAGCTGAAGTGGTACTAACATCACCACTAGCACTACCGCCACTGGCGGGTGTTGCGTATTGCGCACGTAAGGGATCCGCATAATCATATTGTCCATTACTGTTAGTCAGAGCTGTAGTAGTTGTCTTGCTGGCTGTATTAAGGGAGTTACTTGAATCTCTAGGTGATACCGAACTGGGTGGAGTCATGGCATTGTGATAATCTATGGTACTGTGATGATATGTACCGTAAGTTGATACCAGATTGGTGAAAGCGTCCGCTGATGTCTTTTGTGGGTGTGAGTGCAATTGCAAGTATTGGTTGTCGTACGACGACTCACTTCCGGGCGGTGTTGGTAGAGGACCGGTTTGCTGATCTCCATAAAATACTCCAGTAGGTGTTTGACGAGCTGTCGCTCGTATCACACTTTCACGATTAGCATATAGACGTAATAGAGCGGTGGCGGGATTAGGGGGTGCTGGTTGTTGATAATGTGGTGTTCCTATCCATTGTATGGTACTGCTCTTGTCATTTTGTTGCTGCTGCTGCTGTTGCTGTTGTTGTTGTTTCAGTAAGGCGTCGGCACTAAAGTCGGTTGTATTGGGACCACCTACGCTATTTGCACCGGTACTATTAGGTGAGGGTAAATGCTTGGACATTGCTTGTTCTAAATCTTTAACAGAAGTTTCCGTTTGTTGGACTTGCGGGGTAGGTTGAGGTGCCTGCTGAGTTTGTTGCTGTTGTGCAGGTTGATGTGACTGTTGCTGCTGTTGCTGCTGCTGCTGTTGTTCGTCTATGATTGGGGGTAAACGTGTACGTGACGTTTCACGTTCTAAAGCAGGAACTTTGGTATTCGGTTCATTTATAACGGCAGTGACTTCTGTATTTTCAGCTTCTATTTGTTGTGTTGCTTTGCTTTTTCTCTTACGTTTGGCGGTGATAGGCGGTGCGGGCGTTGTAACAGGTGTTACTGCCAGAGTTGTAGGCAATGGATCCGATTCAATACCAATTACTGGAGTATTTCTATCTTTAATTAAAACCATATTACCGTTATTCACATTTGCATTGTTACTGTTGGGCGCTCGGCCACGCGAGCGTTGTTGCTGAGTATCAGCTGGTTCGGTCTTCGGAGAAGTTAGTTTGGTATCGTTGCCTGCATGGCCGCTATGACTATCACCTGTAGCCGCATCGCCACCAGGCGAACCGGAATTTTTATCATTACTTGATAGATCTTCATGTTTAATGCTATCTACACTGGGTTCAAGTTGACAGCAGTCTAAAATCAAATTCTCATTCTCACGATTACTAATCACATAGTTGATACAGATGATATTTTGTTCATCAGCATTTTTGGAACTACAAACCACTGTGGCACATGTCATCATCCAAGTATAACCGCCACTTTTATTCATTAAACGATAATAGCCAGTTAGTACTTGACCTTTTTCGATAACTGCAAAATACGAACGCGAGATTCATTAGGAACGATATCTTCCCAAATAAATTTGTGAAAACTTTTTACTTACGATCCGTGTGAGATTTTCTCAAGCGATTGGCATCTTCAGCATGACACAGGGAATATAAACTTCTACCTACCAGATCTTCCGGACTGTAATCTAATAAATCTGAAATTCTAAAGCGAAGAATCCAATTTTTTCGTTTGTAATATCCTTTATCACTAAATGATTTAGTTATCTGTCCAGTTTGACATACCTTGGTTCACAGTGTGCTATGCGAAAATCGAAATTGATACGCATTACGAACATATCACACTCTAAACGTATTTCGTGCACAGATGGCGGTGGCAATGCTATACCTAGCGCTACCATACCCAATAATGGTGGTTGAGATTTCCGCGAATGCGAAAATGTATACTGAGGTCGCAGTTTGCATAGTAAGAGAATAACCTGAAATTTAAGAGATCTCTTTAGTACGCGAATAGCAAGTAGAGAATATAATAAGTAGCATTTAGTTAAAGTTTAAAAACTTTATAAAGTATACGAGGGATGCCTTTGTCAAGTAAAGACGGCAAGAGCTTAAATAAATGAGCTGAACTTTCTTTAAAGTTGTAGTAGATTTTATATCAAGATTACACAGCATATATATAATGCAGTATGTATTTTGGCCGCATAGTGGCTAACATCGCAACTAGAATGCTAGAATTCGATTGTTACGGACTGATTACCTGGCAATTCTTACATTAAAATCTTCGTTCTTATCTTAAGTTCTATGAAGCGGGTCCATAACGGTATATATATATATTAGGTTACAATATAAGTATTAAATATTTTTAAATAATATTAAGAACATTATATAAAATGTTTGGATATTCGATACTGATCAATAAAATCAGCTAAAGGAATTATTCGATTATTTTCATTTCCTTTTCAAATCAATTTCAAAGTAATTCAGATAAATTTTGTGGTTTAGTAAAATTACAAAAATTGTTTTTAAAGAATTTTGTAAAGCATATACAAAAAATGTATTTTTGGTTAGTTAGTATTTAATTTTTCTTTAATTTTTCATAATCGTTTTAGAAAAGAAAGAAAGAAAAAAAGTGATACGAAAGCAATAAATTCAAAAAAAAATGCTCCTTTTTATTCAAAATTGATTGTGTACTGATTTTAATTGATACGTACCGAATAATTGGTGCCCGATGTTTTAGCATTTTTACCACCACTGACCGATTGATCATTATTAGCCTGCAGATACGAAGATGGGAAGTGGATGAGGGGATAAAATATACAAATAAATATAGACATAATGGTAAAGGGAGAAAGAAAGCGTCTTTACTCAAACATGTGCATAAAATAAAAACAAAAAAATTTTTTGAGAAAGTCATTACTATACAGAGTTTATAGGGACCAGAAATGAAAATAAACAAGAACAACAACAACAACAACAGCAACAATAATAATAACAATAATCAACAATAGCAATAATTGAATATTAAACAAAATAATTTATAGAATTTCATACACATACACAATATTTATCGATAACCATGAACGGTTTAAGGAACTAGGAATGCTTAACTTACCCTATACCCGGATGATTTGAAATGGCAGCCACGCTTTGTTAGAGTTGATTTCATGCGTACGCAAAAGGAACGCTCGAATCCTTTATAGCCGCTGTTGGAAGACACAGACATTTGTGCGGAGACTGCAAATATAGACTGATTTTTAATATGTGTATTTTCGATCATTTTTAGAAAGACACTTTTTTTATATTTTGAATCGTTTATTTTTATTTATTTATTTTTGTTTGTATTTTTAATGAAAATTACCATCGGGATTGTTGGTACCATGATTAGCACCAATACCGTCGTCCGAAGTTCCCGAATGAGGTGAGGCTAGACCAGGGGGTCCACTATTATTACTACCAGCACTCGTTACTCCGCTGTTACTCGTTAAGCTTAAACCCAATTGTTCGGCTATTTCGGCATGATCACTCGGGTGTATGTAATCGAAGATGCTGGAGCCTGTCATTTCCACTTGACTCTGACCCAAATAAATCGATACTGTTTCAGATACATATAGGAAACGTCCATCAGCAGCCACGGCCAAAATGAAACCATCTAAAGACTACGCAGTAGAAAATAAAGAACAAAACACGAGCGATAAATACCAACAAAGGCAACACAGGAGCGCACTAATCGTTCTTAACATAGGGATATGCAACCGTATTTCTTTATACATTTTTTTATCATAAAATTCTTATAAATATGTTTCCTGCCACGCTCAGGCTTAATGCATGTAAACGCAAGCTTGCTCCGAATGACAAACAGGTAGATGGTACGAACATTGGACGGAGGAACAGTGAGGCAAGGCCGAATAAGTGAGCAAATGGGTAGATGGAGGCACGAATTGGCGGATAGATGAGAATACAAACAAAGACATACCATTAAATCGAGTCTGTCCGTCTATGCTTACACTTTATTTAATATTTTTTTTTTTTTTTTACGCGGAGAGAATGCTAACAATTGTGCTAAGAAATATTCTTCTATAGTTATATCAGCTTTCTTAAAGAAATTTCTAATTAAGAGAAGAGCTCCCAGTCTCTGTTACTAGTTTCAACGCCCTTCAGTAAGGAGTTACTTAAAATGAAAAATCCTTTAAAAAAGCGATTAATATTTTCTAAAGACATCTTTAGCTTAATGAGGGTTCGGGTTTCTAATTGTAATGTGATATTTTCAATGTTGCGGCCATTTATGCAGGAAAAACTTTTTTCTATATTGAAGTTTATTCGATTCGATATGAAGTTCTAAATATAAATTCATTAAATCAGCTACCAAAGTCCTTCCTAGACTTTGTTCACTAATTTTGAGCTCGCTTTTATTATTAGTTTGGGGAAAAAGAAATCCATTATTTTTATATGAACTTCAGGACTTTATTTAACATGCTTCGGATTGTCCGATTTGGGTCAAATATGCACCGTTTTGTTGTACGATTTGTTGCCATTTTAAAGGTAACTTCAAAATGCCTCTCTCATAGAAGTCCTGGTCTCCATTTGCAAAAAACTCTAGTAGTCGATTTTCACAATCCTCCCTAGATTCCAATTTTTTATCATTAAAGAAATTTTGCAATGCAAGAAAAAGATGATAATTGCTTGGTGCCAAGTCCGGACTGTATGGCGGATGCATTAAAACTTCCCAGCCAAGCTCCCGAAGTTTCTGGCGAGTCATTGTAGATGTATGTGGCCTAGCGTTGTCCTGGTGGAACACGACACCTCTCCTGTTGGCCAATTCTGGCCGTTTCTGGTCAATCGATATCTTCAAACGGTCCAGTTGTTGACAGTAGAGATCAGAATTTAGCGTTTGGCCATATGGAAGCAACTCATAATAAATAATCCCCTTCCAGTCCCTCCAAATGCATAGCAAAACCTTCCTGGCTGTTTGAGGTGCTTCACCGCTCTTTGACCACGATCGTTTTCGCACAGGGTTATCGTATGTGATCCATTTCTCATCTCCAGTCACCATCCGTTTAAGAAATGGGTCTATCTCATTCTGTTTGGCCAAGGCTTTGCAGATGGAAATTCGATCCATCATGTTTTTTCCTGTTAATTGGTGTGGCACCCAAACATCGAGCTTCTTTTTGAATCCAGCTTTGTGTAAATGGTTTAAAACTGTTTTATGGTCGATTTTTAGCTCCTGGGCGATGTTACGACTGCTAACATGCCGGTCAACTTCGATCATTTCTCCGATTTCATCGACATTTTCGACGACCGGCCTACCTGTGCGAGGTGGTGCATCTTTAACATCAAAAATTCCTGAACGGAATCTACGAAACCAAAATTGCACATAATTGGCTGTTACAGTATCGGAACCATAAACACCATTCACAATTTTAGCCGCCTGGCTTGCATTTTCGCCTTTGTCAAAGAAAAACTGTAAAATGTACCAAATTTGCTCTTTGTTCACTTCCATTTTTAACACGCTGTAACTCACAACCGAATGCACCAAACAAAAAACAGCAAAAGAATTTTTTTTACTGCGAAATGTCACCTTTCCAACGAGCATACATCTGAAATTGTTTGATCGATACTTTACGAGAAATCTATCAGTGCAGCCATCTACCGAAAAAATAATGGATTTCTTTTTCCCCAAACTAATATATGAATGAAATCTAGTTTACAGTGTATGCTGTAGGCTAATAACTTCAAATAATTCCATAAGGAGTAGATCAAAATTTTTCAATTACAGCTCATTAGAGGCCATTCAGTATCGGACTTTCTTAAAAGTATGGCATCAGGCAACTAAACAAATTGATTAGGTGATGTGCTTAATGGCAAGTATCGCTGTGTTTGTGAAGCCAAGTATTATCTAGATCAACATCGCATACATGCGGCTATAGCAAACTCGTTAGCGACGTCCTTTAGCCGCTAATTTCAAGCAACCTACAAGCTTGTTTTCAAGCGATAGTTTTTTAATTTTACGTGGGAGATGACCCGCTCAACAAGCTGTTTAAATAAAAAGGTCAGCAATTTTTATATAGTTGTTTTCGATTATAGGCCCTCTCGGATCGTTTTAGGGATTTTTATACGTTTTCATTTTCGTTATGTAGAGATTCTTAAAGTATGCATATGTATATAATTGAGCAGCACAAGATTTCTACTTGATTTAACACTTTTGTTAGTTTGTCTGTTTTTCCGCAAGGCCGTCTGGCTGCTCGTCTAATCACTGGTCTGGCTATCGATTGCTGTTGAGTTGTTCAAACTTGCAAAATTTGAGGTAGAAAACAGCAACTTGGCACTCTTACCCGATCAGAGCACATTTTGATAATGGAGATAACATGCCATTTACATAAATACATTATAACTTGTCATCTAAAATAGCTACTGAGCCTGCAAACATTTATACAACAAAAGAAAAACTGCAATTGGTTGAGTAAAATTGCTTGTCTATCTACCCAATTATGCGTTGTTGTGCTTGCAGGTGTCCTTCCAGTTGTAACCATTACGATAGAGAGCTAAGACTTGCTTTTCACATTTTTGGGTATTACATATACCAAATGTTTAAAAATGATTCCAATCATCTGTTAAGCAAAAGATGATTAAAAATTGTAGCTTATCATCTCAGTAATAAATGCTTTCTGGAAGCGATCGAATCGGTGCAAAAACAATTCCTGGATTTTGCATTAAGGAACCTGCCACCTTGTAACCTTACCACCATATCAAGATAAATTATTACTCACAGTATTGCCCTCCCTGGATAAATTTCGGTTTATGCCTGGGATTTAATTCTTGGTAAAATTGATCGAATGCCCTGTTGAGTGAAATTTACATAAATGCTCCTGGTCGATCCTCTAGAAGCTATCAATTTATAAAGCTTTACCAATGTAGAAGCAATTAACAGTTATTTACCTCACTTAGGGTATTTAGGAAGAATTTAAATAAGGTCCACAATATAATTCATTTATCTGACTCAATGCTTAGTCTAAAATTAACCCTTCAAAAGGCTTGTTGATCGCCAATGTCATATGTAGACGATAATTATCATTAAAAATTGGTTCAACGTGACTATTATTATAGTAAGAGCTAACTCAGCGAAGCCTTAAAATCCTTAAGCCTTAAAAGAGCTGGGGTGATGCACAAGTACGGTTTAATTTTTTTTTATTGAAATATGAATTTATAGATATAGATACAATTACTTTTGGCTAACCCCTTTGGTGTTATAATGTTGACTTATTGTCGATTGTATAATTGTTTGCATATAGTTTAACTCAGCTGGTATTTACGTAGTTGAGTTGAAAATATATATATATGTATATATATATATGTATATATTCTTAATTAGCTATAGCTTGATTTATGGATCAATATGCAAAATCGCCATTTTAAGACACTAAAAATTTTCTTAAATCTTATGTTTTTTACTAGTGTTAAGTTAAATTTTGAAATCAACATTAACTTAATCAGTTTATCCATAATTAATGGGAACTTGGAATTTAAATGACGACTTGGAATGTCGTATGTATTACAAGTGCATATTTGTTTGTGCGGATGTATGCAACACATGGAAGATCTTTAGATAGACCCACTTTTCATCGTACAGATAAATTCGTTGGGTTATTCTGAGCTTGCCTGCCCATTTGTCCATTCGTCTTATTTTCTTGCGTTCAACCCGTAAGCCGCAATTTTAGAGGTATTTTGAAAAAATTTGCTATACTAACATGTTCTTGGCCAAGGACGAACGCTATTGAAAGTGTTTCGGATCGGACCACTTTTTCGATCACTTCCCATATAACGATTTATTTTGAAACGTCGTTGTGCGGATAGCTGTAGGTTGATATATGGTATTTAATGCCACACTACAGTATTTTTACTTATCGTTTTTTTTTCGTTACCATACGGGCTACACTGTGGGTGTCCGTTCATTCCCATAGGAGATATAATATATATGTTTTGACAATAATCACAATTTATTAAAGAATTTTCTCACTTCGAAAAAGATTGTTATAAATTTTTTTCCTTTCCTTAAATATTAAGGAGAAGAGTGCACGCTTTGTTATGTTTACCGCGTTCAGTCTGCTCCTGAATGAATATGATTTGCATAATACATGCATTGGTTAAGTAAAAATGGTGGATTGATATTTTTAAAGGCTTACCTGCAATATGTGGGTACCGTGATGTTGCTCATATGAGTCGACAGCAGGATTACGTCTTATGGCTGCACCTGCAAAATTTGTAGAAAATACAAAAACACTTTTATTTTAATGTATGCGCTTAAGCATAGAAACGGAAATGAATCTTAACGTAGCTTATAAATGATGAGTATATTAACCAATACTCTGAGGCGTAATATTGATATGCGATGATATAGATGTTTCTCTGATATAATATATAATATCGATTTAAAAGAAAAACTTTCTCCACCACAAAATAAAAAAATTAATGCCAGCATATGTATATAAATATATAATATCAAGTCTATATTCATAGTTATCTATACGTTTTAAATAGTGAATCCCTCTAATATTAACATTAGACAATAACGCAATAAACCTGAAAATCTATTTACGGTTTACTTGGTGTGAAATAATAAAAATTGCGCGTGAAAATATTTCTTATTGATAGTGAGATATTTTTTAGGTGCTTTCCTTTTTTTGAATTTTATTTCATATTTATTGGTTAATTTTATTTCTTTTATTTCTTCATCATCTTAGATATACAATCTATCATATATATATATATATATATATATATATATATATATATATACATATATATAATAACTTGTTAAGCTTCGTTGAACATAAATGTTTACAGCATAACTATTGTTGTCAACTACTTGATAGACCACCAAGAGGTGGCCAAACTTTGATAACGTAATTTTATAATAAAAAATAATTTAAAACGGAGAAAACAAGTAAGGATATTATAGTCGTGCAAGGAAGATCGTTAGATACACTACATCACTTCATATAATACAAATATTCGCCACTTTTGGTGACAGTACATCAAAAATTACATTTTACTTTCGTACAAAGGCATACTTCGCATGAAAGTCCGCACATTGGAGGATGCTCAAAACATCACATCACGTGATACAAATTTTGGAATTTTACGTCTTAAAAATGTTATCATTTTTTAGAAATTAGGCTTTCTCCCCATATAAGGGTTGGCATTTCATGATAACCCCTATATGTGTATGTTAGGTTTTAAAAAATAGACTTATGTGATTTAAATTCCCTGCCGTTAATTTCTTTGCTAAATTGCTACGAAAGACCAATTTCCATTTAAAAATGTTAAACCTTTTTCTGAAGGGCTGACTATTCGTGAGAATGGTATGGGATCCAAGACATATACTCAAATTTGGTCCACTTAATTTTCATGTCAAATTACTATCATAAACGAATTTCATCATAAAAGATTGTCAATTAGTCATTTTCGGCATGTATGCGGTGGTTCAAAAATTAAATCTTTGTAGCCCAAATTCGGTAAAGTTGATTTCTTTGAAATATTTGAAATCATATCTTTTTACCATATAAACATTCAATTTTCGTAGGGACGGTTGTATGAAAGGGATTCAAAGATTCGCCCCAATCTAACTAAATTTTTCATATCAATTTAGAATGTCGACATAGTATTACACAGCGCGTTTCTGAAAAAATATCGAAAATTGCAAGTTTTTTCCATGCAACGAGCGTTCGTCCTTGCGTCAAAGCGCATCAAATATCATCAAAATATCTCAAAAATTTACGGCCTGTAGACATAATACATCAGTAAATGGAGAGACTTCAGACGAACTGACGGAGAGTGAGTTTTAGACCGATTCAGAAAATGATTCTGAAGCGATCGGTATAATAAAAATTGGATGTTGCATACGCCCACAGAAATCGAACATAGTCTGTACCATGTGTGTTGTAGAGTGTAAAAATAATTTTGATTTTCATTTTCATTGCAATGAGAAATAGTTTGCAATAATTGTAAATATTTTATGTTAATATCTATGTAAGCATGCTTCACTTATTTATGCATAATTCATTGTTTTTACCTAAGAATAAAAAAATAAGATCATAAAAAATGTTCAAATCCGGATTCGCCTTACATTTCAAGGCACACACGCCCGCGTACACGCACCCTTACTCACATGCACACAATTTCTTTTTTCTGTTTCCAAAGGAAAATCTTATTATTATTGAATAGTCATAAAAAAATTTCCTGAAAGGCAAAAGTGAATTGTTTGGCAAAAAAAAAAAAAAAAAAGGAGGAAAAGGAGCATAAAAATGACCATAAGCTAACTTATGTATGTATATGAAAAAGAAAACACACCCACAAACATTACGTACATTACTCAAGAGATTTCTTTTATGCCACTCGTTATCGCCTTCGAAGGTCTTAAGTGCATATGTGTATGGAGTGCACGGAGCTTAGGGGCAATACGCTGTCGAAACAACTGTTAAGCATTGCGGCTGAGGCTGAAGGTTGTGTGGGTGAGTGTTAGAATAATCATCATAATCATACTTAAGTAAACATGTGTGTGTGTGTGTGTGTGTGTGTGTTTTATTTTTTGTTTTTATTAAGGGAAGATTTATTGAATACATTTTGGATGTTTCTACGGTTTTTCTTCCTTTTTTATTGTTTTCATATTTGGCCAAAGGTCATAATCGTAAAATCCTATAATTGAATTATTAAAAAAAAGAAAGGTTCGAAAAAAAAATTAATAATAAATGGGAGCAAATGGCTGTTGATATCCATATGCCGATCGAAATATTACTGGGGCGTGTCAACAATATTAAGCCTTAAGAGGAAATCGAAATCTATCAGCATTTAAGATGAACTTAAGCTTTTCTTATTGAGCTTAAATAAGCGTAGAATCTTTTAAAACTATCCAACATGCAAAGATCTTTCGTTTCTCTCTTTCAATTTAAAAATTCCGGTTTTAATTATTTAACTTAATTTATCTCATTCTGTCTGTCTGCGCCTCTCTTCCTGTTTTTAAGTAATGATTTAGGAACTTTCGTACCAACCACAATATTCATAATAATAATTTTGCGGAATTTTGCTTTTTTTTATTCTGGGTGTACTAACGCCCCAGCGACAATCAATTAAGCTTATTCATCACTAATATGGCGATTTTGAGTAATAGTGTGATAATCGCTATAATTTATTGATTAAGAATAATGAGCTACAAACATTTGGTAGTATATTTTTAAGAAATATTGGATAACTGCCATGTCTTCTTTACGGCGCTGTCAAATTTACATCGAACGACCGAACGTTAATGGGACAAATTACTATAATCATAATTCTTAACGGAGAGTAATTGTGCAAATAAAAAACTCACTTGCTATTCTTAACCGCATCGAAAATTAGTTTCGTCCTTGGCTGAGGTCAAACAACAATATATTTATTAAAGTTGAAATTTATCTGACAAAAGGTCCTGTCTTTTTTCTCACTTGGATCAAGCGCATGTAGCGCATTTATAATAATAGGACATGTTTGCTGTGGGATTTTTCGCTACATTCGCAGTTAGTTTTTCACAGATTTATCTTAAATAATAAGAAACAAAGTCATCGATAGTAGGATTGACCAATTTAAAGGATTAATATGTAATAGGGTAGTATAACAATCCGAACAGCTCGCAAAAAACTCGAAAACGTAACTCGACAACAAAAGCCGTTCATGGAAAACGTTATCGGCATGTATACCAAATGTTACGAGGATTCACTCGGGCCATCAAGCTATTTGCTCGATTACGATTTTTCCATTGCGATGAAACGACGTAAGGTGGGAATCCCTGTTGACTGTTAACGTTACGCTCTTCAGCAGACCATAGGGTTGATATATCTGTCCAATCGTTCAATTTCTCTCAAACTAGACTTTTCAATTTTCTCATGATCGTTGTCATAACGACTTAAATTCTGACCTAAACGAGCGGCGTTGTTAAACAGATTACCGCCACAAAATCTAATGTGACTTAGGGCGTATACTTCACGATGTCACTTACGCTACAATGCGTTTTGTACATCATACAACGGGATGATGGTGAGTAGGGAAGAATTGAAAATTCAAATTTCTTCAAAAAAGTTTTTTTTTTTGTATATTTTTTCCATTCTACGCATAAATTCACTTAAACTGATTTGTTTGTTAACAACGAAAAAACAAAAATTTTTTTTCAAGGCAATAAATATTTGAATCATTGGTAATTCATTTTAAAATGGTCAACACATATCGATAAATTAATGCAACAACAGTAACAATAACAATGCAATGCAATACAAAATTTATATTAAGCCGAAAAGAAAAAAAAAACAATAAATTTAACCTTCCGTTACCTTTTACAAAATACCTGAAAGCCAATAAAAATTTACACATATGTACGTAGAAGCACAAGCATGTACTCGAACTGATAACGAAATTGAAAAATAAAGTAAAAAAAGGAAAAAAAAATGTTGAAAGGAAAAAAAAAAAAAAAACAAAATGGTTGCGCATGAGCACAACAGTGCAGGGAAAAGCACAAAAAAACTTTAGTTGTGTTTACACATTTTTTTATGCAAATTAGTTTACACATATAAAACCGCACAAATACACCAACAAACCATCACAATATCTCTCTAGCAATAATACAGTAAAATAAAATTAAACAGAAAAAAAGCATAAAGACTTGAGTAAACGTATAAACGTTTACGTCTACGTTTTATGTGTAACTAAATAAGAAGAAGAAGAAGAAGAAAAAAAGAACCAAAGACTTCAATAGTTTATTTATGTGCGTCTGATATTTAAGGTAGCGTATAATGTTCGTATACGCAAGCGTGTGTTCCTTTAAAAATTTGTCGCCATAAAAATTCCGTTTTTTTGTCTTTCCTATAAATTAATTATTTAATAAATTACGAACAAAAACAGAAATTTATTTATTTATTTTTTTTTTTATAACAAGCAATTATTTTGGTTTTTTTTTTTTTATAATTTTATGCTTTTAATAAAAATTTCACTTCCTTTTATTTATTAATATACATTAAAAAAAAAATCTCGAATTATTTTTATTACTTTTACATTAATAAATATTACTTACTTTTTAATTTACTACTAGTGCTTTGTTCTCGAGTCCATGGCGGATCACCGTGCCCGGAAAAATCTCGTAATTTTAAATAGCTTATCGTCAGTCTTATTATCGACGCCTTATCCAACTGACTGGTTATTGCTGAGGGTAATGGTAACATTTTCGCTAATTCATAGAATTCAAAATTCTCTTTGCCGCGTCGTGAGCGGGCGGCATCTCGTGATTTTTCTTTTCGTAACTCTAAAATTCTGGAAGAAAAGTATATGAAAAGATTTTAATTAACAGTAATTAACTAATTTTCTTAAGGTTAAGAAGTAGATTACTAGAAAGAGGCAGCAAGACACACACACATTTCAACCGACAGTTAAACAAAGTTGCTTCTAATGGTCTCAAACCTAACATCAGTTCACTTTGAAATTCTTTGCGGCATATTCATTAACCTAACGAACATATGCTTATATAACAACAGCGGGTACATTTAAATTTAACAACTTGGCTTTGAAGGCCTTGATCTTGATGAACGTAAATACAAGAAGTGTTGATTTTCTGGTACATTACTATACCAATTACAACTTTTCCACCTTTACTGGAAAGATAAATTTGTATTTGAAATTTTATTGTTTGTCCTTTTAGTCAATTTATGATAAAAAAATATTAATTTAAACTCAGCTTTTGTCTAAAATTGTCCGAAAATCATACGAAAAAAATGCGAACGATCTGCTTATACTTTTTAGTATATATATATTTCTTATATATTTCTTCTTCTTCTGCAAATCGCCAAATCAACAACAGATGATTCTTTTCAGTTGACTAAAAAAATTCTATATAACGCGATATAAATCGGCATATATCGGATTAACAGATTTATACTTTACCTTGCAATTAAATATCTGATACAAAATATATAGGATGTTAAAAGATTCAAATAATTTTTCTTCTTCTTAATTACCCCAAATGAGTAGATATGTAAGGGTCGGCATGATCATTAACATCTTCTCGGCCTTCTGTAAAGAACTTACAACGACTTACAAACATATTCTTCGCCAAAGTGAAATGGAGCAATTAATTTTATTTTTTCATACAAAATTTCGATGGAGGTACTTTGATCTGTCTTTTTTTTTTAATAGCAAGAAAATTGCGAAGCGCACCAAAACGCGTTTAACCTTTATAACTGCCAGCACAATCCAACTATGCGAAATGGCTGAATGGTTAGCATATATTGGGGACGAGAGTACCAACAGGGCAAAAGAAAGATATCGAAAGTCGAATGTACGTAGCCCATGAAATTCGAAAAGTCACTTTTTTTTAAACACACCTCGTATGATATGCCCTCAAGTTAGTATACCGCGGAATGTGTTATAATATCATATGTCCATAACTTAGTATATGACGGAATCAATACAGTTTATTGCAGTACGCCAACGGTCAAGATGAGTGCAGACGATGTCTAATTAGAATTTTAAATATAATGAAAGAAGAAAATTTAGGATTGAATTTTATACAAAAAGCATGCCTGACTGTATGTCATAATAACTGCAGAGGAGGATAACCTTTCTTTAATTTTTTCATTCTATTGATTATACGAATCCCTAAAAATTTTAGATCTTCATTGAAGTGCTGTCACTCATTCATGATCTTCCTGAACAATATGCAGAAGATATAATGAAAAATAGCGTTAGTAAAGTCTTTTCTTACTTACTTTTTTTTTTTTTTTTGTCTCTGATGAAAACATATTTCGCCACATTTCTTTTCAGTACGTGTGAAAGCAAAACAAAACGTAAATAAGACTAATTGCTGGTAATTAATAAAAATTAATAGCATATAGTTTTTGTTGAGAAAAAGTAAGTAGAAGTTGAAAAACTCATAAGAAACACAAGAAAAATTCTTTTGTACGGTCTCGACTTACAACAATTCGTTTAATACTTTAATCACGTCATTGTATTTTCAAGCAATTTATATTTCTGACCCATTTGGGAATAATAAACTTGATGAACATCTTACAATTATTGATAAGTGAATAGAGAATCTCAGCCATTTTAACGAATAATCAAACCAAATATTGAGCCGAAATTTTAGTTTACGAGAAAAATGAAATCAAAATTATATATATGTGAAATTCCTTTTCCGACGATAACGAATTAGGGTTAGCGTAGAAAAGTATAATGCAAAGTATGATGCAAATGCGGCAGCAATTTCATCAGTTGGATTATAGTTTATAATAATGCACTTGTATGTATATGGCTTAGAATGAGATTGAATAGCAAGCAACATTAATTGTGCTTACAACAATATTCAGAAAAAAAATCATCATCATCATGTATCATCTTAAATTACTCAAGCAAAGAGCTTAGATTATTTAGTGATAAAGTCATTAGATCATGCCAGAGCCACGTTACAGATGGCGATGTTCTGTTCAAAATGCACGATTTCCGTCCAAGAAGATTCAATCAACATCTTTCGAAAAAACATCTAATTTCTATAACAGTCGAACTGATAACAATTTCGAAAAATTCTTCTTTTTAAATTAATTTATGAAAAAGTATACTGACACATTCTAACAGACGCCTTCAGGCTTGAAAGCGATGACTGTTGCACAAACTTCATCATCAATATGGAAAAAAAGATGTTTATTTTTCCTCAATTGTTTCAGTGTTTTTTTCTAATAAATCGTATCATCCTTACTAAAGAATCCTGTATATTGACGGTGCATAAATGACCGCAACATTGAAAATATCACTAACTCCTGAAGGACACTGTACACTGATTGAAATTAGAAATCCGAACCCTCATTAAGCTAAAGATGTCTTTAGAAAAAATTAATCGCTTTTTTAAAGGATCTTTCATCTTAAGTAACTCCTTACTGAAGGGCGTTGAAACTAGTAACAGAGACTGAGAGCTCTTCTCTTAATCAGAAATTTCTTTAACAAAACTGATATGACTATAGAAGAATACTTCTTAGCATTATTGTTAGCATTCTTTCCGGGTGAAAAGAAAAAAACGTTATTAAACATTAGTAAGGATCATAGCTTAAAAAAAGGGATCTGAGCCACAATTTGCTCAATGATTATTATTACACCAATAAAAATACTACAGTGGGGCGCGATTTACAATTAAATATCCCCACTCTACAGTTATTCATATAGTGACTTCCTAAATGAAGCCGTTGTAAAGCCGTTGGTAGCGGCCGAAAAAGCGGTCCGATCCAAACCACTTTCCAGATAGGTCGGCCCTGAAACGAAGAACAAGTCAGTATATCAAAAATACACCTAAAAATATCTTAAAAATTATGGCCTGTACGTTGAACACGAAAATGCTTGGACAGACAACGGGCGGACACACAGGCTCGATTTAATGGTGTACCTTTGTTTGTATTCTCATCCATCCGCAAATTCCTTCACCCATGTACTCCTTTATGCGCCTATTTGTACCTTTATCTGCCCATTCGCTCACTTATTCGGTCATGCCACACTGTTCGTCCGTCCAATTTCCGTACCATCTATCTGTTTGTCTATCCACGCCTCTCCATCGTTATTTTTGAAAATTATAATTGAAACCTGAAAACTGAGAATTGAGAAAATTGTACTCGGCCGACTATTTTATATCCATCTCCGCCTAATACTAATCAAAAGTGTGTCGCCTTTGTATGATCTCTGAAGCTTATTTGCCGACGCTGCAAAAGTTTTAATAAAAGTGGGATATTTTAAGATTTTAACATTCTATAATATTGAGTAGGCGTGGCGAATTTTTTCCCATTTTGTACAGAATTTTTGGAAAAAGTTGTGGTCGTAGGTTATGTTGCACTATGCTCATGTTCTTTGTCCGATCTGGCTCAATCTCAATGCCGACCTGCCTGCAGGAACTTCTAATCTTTGTGCTAAATTTAAAGCCGAGTTAGTGATCGACATATTTCGAGTTCACTTGATATCGGAAAACATAAACCGACTTCAGTTTGTTATAATGAACTTAGTGTCTTCCGTATACGAGAGGGACTTTGGCGATGACAAATTCTGACCATAGTTGCGAAATTTGCTTTTTCTGATCATTGTTATTGTAACAAAAACCCTTTTTTTAGTTTTTGTGATCATAATTAAAAAAGCAGTTTGCGTGCACCCTACAATTTGCTCTTATGAACAAATTTTCACAATGAAATATTGAAGATTACACCTTTTTAACATATAAAGATTCAGTTTTCGTAGTAACTGGTGTATGAGAGGTCGTTTAAAAAATTACTCCAGACGAACCAAATTTTTCATATCAACTTATAATGTGAAACCACGATTACCTAGCGAATTTTGTCGACGAACTTTGAACATTCCAATATCTTTCCCTGTTACGACTTTTTAAAATAAAGCGTTCTACGGTCGCAGAAGTAGATCGATCCAAAGCATTTTCAATAGCGTGTACAAAATTTTACCGATATATCTCGAAAATTGCAACCTTAATGCAAGATACACAGATAGTCAACAGAAGGCCGGAGGGTCAGACGGACGGGCAAGCTTAGATTGATTCAGAATCGATGGCATAATGAGAGCTGGGAAAGCGCAATTAAATATCTATAAAAGATATCGATATAACGTTCGATGGGAAAACATGTCCTACGGCCGTGTCAGTGGAAAAGCGTATTCACGTTTAAACAATTTGCTGAAATCTTTTACTTTAACGAATATGCAAACATCAATTCAATTTTGTAAAATTAATGCTAATTTGCGAAGTTTTCAAATATATTTATAATAAAGTAATTTACGTTTTAAAGTTTTATTAACAATAATTCATTAGGGGCATAGAGAGAAAAACCAAAAAACAATGTAGATAGATCTTTCTGCAATGTTGTAACTGTGTTGTTGATGTCTGGTATAATGTAAACAGTCTCTGCGTGGAAAATGATACACAGACTGTGCGTGTTTATTGAGCTAAAGCAACTTAAGATAGATTGCGAGAGTTTTTAGTTAACATACCGCAACAACAAGATTTAATATTTTAAAATTAATGATAGAAGATCATCATTTTAGCGGTTTCATCATAAGCATGATTATTGTCTTGGTAAGTTGGCTAAAATGCTACTTTACTTTGTGCACAGATGAATATTATTTTGTTTTTATTTATTTGTGATACATGTATATAAATATAAATATATATATATATATATATATATAAATATATATAACTTTATAAAAACTTTTAAGAGTTACATCTCTGTTTTTTTATTTCGTAAATTTTCCACAAGTGATTTCTGGTTCTCTTTGTCGGT